TGATGCAGGAACAGCAATGATAGCAGTTGAAGCTTTTTTTATACAACTTAGAATGGCAAACAAGCTGACGGCCCCCCATGCATTGCCATTCCTGAGAATGTGAGGTTTTATTCCTGAGGTGTTATTCCCCTGTACCCTGTAAATTCACTGCCATATATATACACAGATAGTCTATATAGATAGATATACATATACACAGATAGTATACCCTGAGAAAGGTCATAGACTACTTTACAGTGCGAAAAAGGGTTGTAAGTGATTGAAAGCGGAGATGAAAGGTTGTATAAAAGTATCGTCATTGTTTAAGTGAAACAATGAAACTTTTTTTGGGTTATAATCTAAATATATTTCCTTTATTTGTTAAATTTCATTATACCACGTTGACGAAGTCGCGGCCACACCTAATATACATATAAGGATGGGAACTTTAAATCGAAACAAAGGCATGAAAACACAACTATTATATATAAATAAAATAATTATTTGCCTAAGTTTAATATTTAGAACAAGTGAATATGGCAATAATGCATCCGACTCTTATAATAAATTATTTTATTTTTATTTTTATTTATACTCTTTATTGCACCAATTACAGAACAAAAAAAAAAAAAACAATTAAAATGGAAAATATACACTGATACAAAAGGCGGTCTTATCGCTAAGCAATCTCTTCCAGACTATCTTCCTTTGGGTGGATAGAGAAATAAAAATAAGAACAGGGTAGGTGGCGCACGTAATAAACAAAAATAAATATATATGACTCAAATATACATAAATATAAACATACACACACATTAATACATATATACATACACATACATATACTTAATAGTGCACATACATTCGGAAAGAAGAGATATATAAGAGACACACATACATTTGGAGAGAAGAGATAAGGAGAATAATAAGAAATTAATTAAAGAGATATAAAATGGGATTTGACAGAGGCTTTAAAGCTGGCAAGCGATTGAATGCTCCGAATGCTAGAGGGCAGTGAGTTCCACAACCTAACGGCCTGGACAGAAAAGGATTTAGAATAGAAGGAAGTGGAATGAGAGGGAAATCTTAGACGGAGATAGTTAACATTACGCGAGGAGTGGCTGTTGTTCTCACTGAGAAATGTGAAACAGTCTTTTAGGTAATAAGGAGTAACTGGGTTAAAAAGAATGCTGTAAAGGAGTGATAGGATGTGTAAGTTGCGACGAAGACGGATAGGGAGCCACTTGAGTTGAGTACGATACTGGGAGATGTGATCATATTTGCGCAGACCAAATATGAAGCGAATACATAAATTTTGAAGTCGCTCAAGTTTATTTAATTGCTCTTCAGTGAGATCCAAGTAGCAGCAGTCAGCATAATCGAGGATAGGAAGGAGTAAGGAATGAGCAAGTGCAATTTTGGTATCAAAAGGGAGAAAGTTACGCAACCTGTTCAAGCCACCAGCAGCTGCAAACATTTTCCTACTAACCTCAGAGACTTGATGAGACCAAGACAACGTACGATCAAATACAATACCAAGATTTTTAACAGATTTCCTATATTCAATTAGAACCCCGTCGAAGACTACAGGCGGAAGGTCATTCCAAGAAATTTGAGAAATATATCTGGGGCTACCTATAATAATGGCTTGTGTCTTCGAAGGGTTCACAACAAGGCCGTATGACTCACTCCAAACAGATAAACGCCTAAGATCGTCATTGATAGTGAATATGGCTTGAGTTAAATCTACCAGACCAGCCTGAGTGTAGATTTGGAGATCGTCTGCATAGAGATGGTAGGAAGACTGAAGTTTTGAAGTGATTGAGCTAATAAACAATGCAAATAAAAGGGGAGATAAGACACCACCCTGAGGTACGCCAGCTGACGTAAGGCACCACGAAGACAGAGCGTCATCGATGCGAATACGCTGCCGACGCCCCAACAGGTAACTACGAAACCAGTCAATAGCCGTTGGAGATATGTTGAGAGAGGATAATAGGCCTAATAAGATGTCAAAATCCACAGTATTAAATGCGTTACTGAAATCAAGTAAAGTGAGAACAGTAAGCTGAGAGTTCTCCATGCCAAGACGAATATCGTCAGTTATTTTCACAAGAGCGGTAGTCGTACTGTGACCGGGGCGGAAACCAGATTGTAAAGGATTTAGGAGACTATGTCTGGTTAGGAATGAATTAAGCCTTAGTTGAACCAAACGTTCTAAGGCTTTGGATAGGAAAGGGAGTATGGAAATAGGACGATAATCGGCGAATGAGGTAGGAATATTTTTTTTGGGAAGAGGAATAATGAAAGCATCTTTCCAATTGGAGGGAAAGACGCCAGAGGACAAAGACTTATTGAAGAGTAAAGTAATGGAGGGCAAAAGGATATCAAGAATAGGCAAGATCATATTACGACTAACGCTGTCGCTACCTACAGCATTTGAAGAAATTGAAAGCAAACTTTTCTCAACATCACAATCGGTCAATTGATCAAAGAAAAAAGGAGAGCAGTCAGGGGTGGATAAGAAGGAAAGATTACGTAGTGTATTAGATTTTACAGTAATATCTATAGCAGGAGAAGAACAGAAATGTTGGTTGAGACATTCGATATCCATAGTAACAGGGTTATCATTACTTTTTTTCCCAACCCCTAGTGACTTGAGAAATTTCCAGACTTTAGCTGGATCACCGTTTTCAACGGATTTGTGAATGTGGCGTCTTTGGGCTTCTCTACACATCCTATTACAGAGATTCCTGGCGCTGATATAATCATTCCGACATCTGTCCGGGTCTGACCTAAATTTGGACTTAGCTTTATTCTTTTTCAGTATCATAGTCTTGATCTCATCTGTAAGCCAGGGTGCAGGCAAATGCTTAACCCTGACAGGGCGGACAGGAGCATGTTTATTGTAAAGATCTGTAATTAATTTATTAAATCGTTCAACTTGATCGTTTACGTCAGATAGAGTACCAAGAGTAGACCAACTACATTTTGAGGCGTCTTTGCGCAAACAGTCCATAATTATCTTGTATTTATTAATAAATAAATTTAATTAATATATAATAAGAATTAATTAGTACATTTATATTATAGTAATTTCATCTTCCTGTCCTATTATTTGTTATTTGTTACTCATATTACTTAAGGTTTTGGCTTTTAGTTATACAATCGGCCAGCATCCTGACTTCAACCCTCTAGGAATAATATAAAAAAAAAAAAGATGGTCATTATTAGCACTTTGATAATTAATATAAATCACGTTATTTAAAAAAATCCAATAAATAGTTTATGTTACTCAGTTAAGTAAAAACATATCACATTATTAATTAAAATATTACAAGGATCAAAATGGTTCATACTAAATCCACACCGATTGCGCTACACGTTTATTTGCGTCTGTGTGCGTGTACTACTGTGTGTGTGCGTAAATCCATACGATTAAACCTAAAGTTGAGCGGCATCATTTTGTAATAGTCCTCTTAATTTACATCGTAACGGAAATATACGGAAATTTCACTATCCACCAACGAACAGAGTCGCTATATTCACCGTCCCCCACGTTATCTTAAAAATTGTAAGACTGAATATCTGAATGGTACAGTTCTTTTAGATTTTTATTTAAAATTGAATGTAATTTTTTTTAGGTTCTGGCTTATTTTAAGAACAAAAAAATCGAACTGATTCTAATAAAATTTGTAACAAATTGTAATAAGATTCTGTTTTGTTAGGTACAATACATACATATAATACAATACAATACCTACTTTAAAAAGATCATAAAAAAGTACTAAGTACATTTAATTTTAATGTCTGAAAATAAATAAGGTGATTTATGACATTTTTAACTGTTTACTACACTGACTATGTTTAAAAAACCTGTTGACATGTCTAAAATCCATGGTTTTCACGCGTCTGGTGCTGTTTTCCTAGAGTTTGCTATCAGGATACGAACTGATCGGAGATTAAGATTCGGATATGAGAAAAAAATGAGGTTTATATTAGCCATTTCAGTACCGCAAGTACTTACAACAGGAATTTTCTACAATACCAAGCAAGTTTATAAATGTTAGAGGGTGTGCATACGGTTACTTACCTATATTTACAGCAACTTCTACTGATAATACAAATTATAGATATAATTAAACAATCTACCCTACAATATATACCTACCTATCTAAATTAAACTAGTCCTTAAACATAGTAAAATTAAATTAAAAGAAATCCAAAAACACTCCTATTATCTGTGTTAATATTTTGTTTACAAAACTTGTAAAAATTTATTTAGTTCTTTTTTTGAACCTGGGAATTACTAAGTTTGATATTTTTTAAATTCAACTACCGCCCACACAGAGCCACGCTCGCTCCGCACGTGTCTCTACAAGAGTAGATCATAGCAGGAGCGAGCCACCAAAACGACCGCGATGCTTAACGGCCGGAACTGGCCCCATCTGGGCCCATTGTCCCAGCCTGCGCCGCCCCCCTTCGTCGGACTATCGGCCGACATAGTAGCAATTTCCCAAAGGAACTAGTACTATCCCGCCTAGGGCATACCAGAACCAAACCATTGCTCGGCTACCGTTCCCCGCGGACGTATCCCCGTATGTTCCAGCAATTGGGAGGCTTCCCCATGGAAGCCTCCCAATTGCTGGAACATACGACGAGGTTGCCCGACTCACACCCCTGTCTAGTACCCCTAATACAACCTCTACTTAAACTAAACGGTGGTGTGAGTTGTCCTAAGGTATATTTAAGGTATATTAGTTGAAAATTGTACGTACCTACATAGAAGCAAAATATTTTAATGATAGTAGAACTAGTGAGAAGTAGTAATAAAAGTTTATGATATAGCTTACTACACACTAAATAGTAATTAATTATTACTAATAATTGGAACACTTAAATTATTATCGTTCGTGAGTGTAGCAGTTCAAATTGCCATGTATAATTAATTAGTCATTCGCTAGGTAGGTGGTAATGTACACATCCATAAACATTACAGCCGTAAATTGTCTGATGCCTTCAGTTATAAATGAACTGTAACCCTATGTGGTCTTCTGTAAAATTGAATGTCCGGAGAAATCAAATACGTGACGTCATGATATCGAAAAAAGTCGACAATGCAGAATACGCATATCATGTATTAGCTCCTTTAAATACTTTACTAAAGATATTTTCTTTAAATTGTAACTTGGGTTTCAAAACATCGTTTGATAATTTTTGTATTTTATTTAAGTATGCGCTAACAGCAACAGTTTTGGGTGTAATAAATTTTTTCACTCTGTATTATAAAATGACAAATGTATACATTCAACTTAATGCCTCAATTAAATTTACTGACTTGGTGCAAGTGGTTTTCGATTATTTTCAATATCTAGTTGATTTGTACAACGTGTACAAATATGGAAGACAAGTGAGCGTCGAATATTATAAACAATATAGTAACATTGATAAGATTCTTGGTGTCACATACTATCCAGCAATTAGGGAGAACATAGTGAAAAGTATCGTTTTCTTCCTAATCACCTGGTTTGTTATATCAGCGTGTGACTTCGTTGCATGGGTTCTTAGCTTCGGGTGGATAACGCCTATAATGTATTCTGTTTCCTACATTTTTCTTTTCATCAAAATATTGACCACATTGGACCTGTCTGCGCAAGCTATGCAAATTGAATGCCGCTTGCGAAGTATTTGTGATCTACTTCAGCATTATTATTATTTGCTTGAACCATTACCGGGTTCAACGACTGATTTATTAAATAACGAAAATTGGTTTTATTCGGATGCGTGTTCGCGAGTCACTAAATTATTATCAAAGAAGAATGTAATAAAAAAGCCGTCGTGTAGTAGCGATCATGAAGTAAAATGGCTGTGTAGATGTTATGTAATGCTCATGGAACAGTCAAACTTTATTAATAGTATGTTTGGGATTAGGGTAAGTCATTTACAGTTAATTGAAATACATATATAACATCGTACTTAAGCCAGTAACTTACTACCTAATAATAAACATTTTTTATTTCAGTTTTTACTGAATAGTCTGAGTTTACTTATTGACATGATAAGATTTATGAATCTAACTGTCAGGATGTTAATTGGATCACAGGTAAGTGACGACGTTATCAGTTTTATTAAAAAATTTGAAAGATATATTCTTATTTATAATAGCGTATTTTTATTCTTATTAGAAAATCTGAAATAGATACAGACGTAAGAGAATTTATATTAATTTATAAACTTCGTATCTATCAAATTAATATAATATACCCTCGATGGTTTAACCGTATATCAATAAATTGTAATAAAAAAATACATTTTTACATTAGCCAGAATATACAAAAACAAACATTTCACACGTAGTTATGTTTAAATTGAATGACCTTACATTGTAACCAATCAATTAACATGAAACTAGGCCCAAGAGAGTCAACACAAGTGTTAAGTATGAATGTGTAATTAAGATTTAAAAATAATTTATTATAATCTTGATAATATTAATGGTAAGAAAATATTACATAATATATATACATTATATAACAATAAAAAATTAATTCAGATTTCGCGACATGTCAAAACATATGTAGGTAGGTATCTATCTACACATATAAATAAAATTGGAGTGTCTGTTTGTAATATTGAAATAATAGATTTTTAGGCTATGAATATAAATACGGTACATACACTAAAATAACATTTTTTACAATTTTTGTCTGTCTGTCTGTTTGTTCTGGCTAATCTCTGAAATGACTGGACGGATTTTGACGGGACTTTTAGTGGCAGGTAGCTGATATAATAAGGAGTAACTTAGGTTACTTTCATTTTAGAAAAATACTTATATTCCAAACGGACGAAGCCGCGGGTACAGCTAGTATATGACATAAAAATAAACTACTTAATTGGAATTGAAAACATCTTCGCCTTGGAAATAAGGCGTTAGTGTGTTGGGGCTATTTTGTTAGTGAGTATATAGAATTAAAAAAAAGTGGAACAGAATGCTCGACGTTATACAGTTATTGTTTCTAATGATGGAAATTATTTAGCAGAAGGCAATTATTATGTAGTCAAGAATACCAATAAAATTGCCTTTTGTACTAAACTATAGGTAATCATTTTCTTTGATTAATTATTCCAGAATAGTTTTGTAGGTTTTAGAAACTTAATTGTAGGTCATAGCTATACCTACTTACAAATAAAAATACGTAATTGTACATATAAACTAATGACGTGCATGACCAACCCCTTGTTTCGATACCAATTTTAAAATTAGAACGAAAACATTAATTTGGAATTCACCTATAAAGAATAAGGTGTATTCTGTTTGAGAAAACAATATCAAGTTAGGTGAATTGTATTTAGATATAGCTATGTAATATTATATTATCTGTGATATAGCTATATTTTTTTATGTAGTTAGTTTGGCAGACAAATTGATGGCCTGCTTGTGGGTAACTGGCACCACGGATGCCCGACGAAGCTTATCACGTGACGACCATTATAACATTCAAAAGGATAACGTCTTGCATCCGTACCTTGTAATTTTACTGGCATACAACTAAATTTGATTTTCAATCAAAACACATTTTGCAAATTCATCTATTTGGCGGCTGAAATTGGTGAGACGGACTAAGGTTCCCTCGCATTTGCCAAGTCTAGTAAAATATGCTTTGGCAATCTCAACATTTGTCAAGTTTAATAATAATAATAATGAATGATTGAAATACAGTTAGGTACATACACAATTATGTATAAAGATAATAATAAAAAAAGAACAATATAATGGCCCTACAAGAACCTAAAATAGAAATGTTTAGGGCGAGTCCGTATTACCGATCCATTGTAATATATAATAAAATGCCGGAAACCATAAAACAAGAAGATAACATTAATTTATTTAAAAAAAGGCTTAAAGAACTACTGACCGACAAAGCTTACTATACAGTAAAATAATTTTTAACAGACGTACTATAGGAGCTAAGTGGACACTACAACAGATCTAAATTTTAAATTTCATTATGGGAATGAGTCATCTACGAAATTGCCATACTCTTTAAACAGAGTACATGTGTATTGTTAATTTATCATATGTAAATTTATGTATATGCATGTGCAATTATAAATAAATATAAAAAAATAATAATATATAAACAAGTAACAATGAGCGGCCATATCGCTAAAAAGCGATTTCTTCCAGGCAACCTTTGCATAAAGAGAAGCGATTAGATGTATGTCTGGTAGAGGTGTAATGATGGTAACAATGTTGGAAGAAATGTTATTAATTATATTAATAACATTTCTTGCAACACATACACATATATTACAACGTATACATATAACTTAATACAATATAATATTATAAACTTACAGATACATACATAATATAAGAATATATAATAATGATTATTTATATATTTACCAAAATTGTTTCAAATGTTCACAATAGCATTGATTCTTGCATTGGGCTGGGCCTGTCCTGTAGGAACCAGAATACGAATTACCTATACATTATACCTATAGATATAATAACATAATAATAAACAACAAAAATTACCTATATAGAAATACCATTCTGTTTCCAGCATACCACCTATGACTCCGGTTATTTACCAGCGGTGTTCAGCTTACTGCGTCTATTGATGTGTATTGCTATATTGGTACACTTAGTACACAACTGTGAGAAGGTCTATCGACAAACCGACAATATTCTTAATATTGCTGACCATCTCCTTCTTAATAGGCAACCAGGCAAGTCAATATTTTGTGTTACAAAAATCTTCAAAATTAACATCCTTATTATGCGACCAAAATCTGAGATCACAGGAAAAAATACTATATTTACTGCATAAATGTATATTTTTCTCCTTGGGTTAAAAACCTAGTTACCATTGAACAAGCACTACAGAATTCGTCCTTTTTTATCCTCTAAAATATTTTGTAATAAATAAATTGCTAAAGTTACATACTGCATTGCATATAATTTGCTTTGTTACTTAGCTGTCTGAAATCACCGCAATACACCATAATACCTCTCGACACCAAAGACTTATGCTTAGGTGTGTACACTGTCTTACTACACTCATTTCCACATAGGTACGTAACTTGCCTAACAGTTACCGAGATTCTTGACTATTTCGTCAAATCTCAAATAATAATAATCCTCAATAATTCACATTTTAAATTAAGCAGACTTTCTATTACGGATTAAAATCCTTAAATACATACATACCTACATATGCCTCTATCGTAGTATGTAAAAAACAACACCTAGATCAATGCAAACAATAAATCTCATGAATATAAATGTTTATAAGGTGCCAGGAATAGATAGGACTAATACCAATTCTTATTATATTACATACATATGAAACGTGTTATTTCCAAAGGTTTGGTTTAGCTTGCAATTTTCTCTTTTATACTTAATATTTATATAGGACCATATACATTTCATAGACTAATTAAAACTATTCATTTTCTTCACAGATGACAAGTTACGTGAAGCGGTGACCGAACTTCGGGACCTTATACGATCGCGGCCCATCTCTTTCAACATGGCTAATTTCTTTAGCTTAAACTACTCTATGCTTTTATCTGTTGCTTCGGTAGTAGTAACATACACAATCATATTGTTACAAACTACGAATTAAAATATTACCATTAAACTTAGTGCTTCACTTCAATAACAAACCATAGTATAAGTACATTAAAATTATATAAGTAAGTGCAATAATTAACTTACTTCGCTAGTAAAATGAACATCAAACATGTGAATACCTACGTCTTCTTAAATTTTAGTTATGAGATTGGTACCACAGAAATGTATTATCTACTAACAGCGCGCAGTTGTACCCGCGCGCAATTTGTAGCCTATGTATTATTCTGATGTCTCCCTATACATGTGTAGGGCATCAGAATAATACATAGGCTACATAAGTTCCATCGAAATTTTTTTTCCATGAAAAAGTAACAAATATCCATCCATCCATCTGTCCATCCATGCTCACTAACTATCGCGTTTATAATATCAGTAAGATTGAGTATACTTTTTCTTTCTTGGTTACTTCCAAATTCACGTGAGTATTAAGAAAGTTGATGTTAATAGCTTAGTTAAAAGTTAATTAGCTGGTGGTGTTGTCGCTATTGGGGAATTAATGAATAATATGGGTCAATAAGCTCATAATGACCGCGGCCGCGTGTTAATATGGTATAGTTAATAATGGTTCCGTTGATATGGTTGCTAACCACGAGATCATCTTTAATCATCTCCCCCGTAGGTCCTTTATATTTCCTAATGCTAATAATCTTTTACCCCATGATGAACCTGGATAGATACATAGAGTAAGTAGTAAAGAGTATACCAAGCTGAGAATCAGTATAAATGTACTCATAAAATAGAACAAATTGCAAGAATAAACTGCTGTCTTTGCAAAAATTCGTCTTCGCGGGCTCCTCGGTCTCTCTATTTCAAACGCCTAATTACTAAGACTTTTTTTGTAAACTGTATTTCGGTTGAATTGCGAGATAAAGCAAGGGAATGACAAAATAGAGAGATAGAACGCACGAGTAGTATCACGGATGTCCAATTGGTTTTTATTAACATACTTTATTAGTAATGTACCTATTAATATAATCATAAATAATAAAAATATATAAACAATTCAATAACATGATATCCATAAATAAAGAATGTATAATAATAAATAAATAGAATAAATAAAGAAATAGAAAATTCTAATTGATTTAGTATTCATGAAACTGTATAATTTTCCAAAGAAGTAAAGTCGTGTGATCAATTTATTGTAAAAGTTCAATATCAAATTAAATTTACTTCTGTTTAATTTCGTGGTAAAATTGTTTCAGTTTCATGAGTTTTCGTGATGTATGTGTATAGAGGTCGACAGTTAAAATACAGGTAGGTAATTTAATTATAGACTAATACGTGTGGACTTGGATGGTAGAGCCATAAAATAGATTAATAACAGTAAAAATATGTCAACACCACCCAGCCATATAATCAACGCTATTGCCCTATAATGACGTGTAAATATTTGATTAGAGTCAGAGAATTTTTTTTAATATAAAAATATAATAGACAACACTAATCAAGTCCATGATCACACGCTGGTAGCCGTCCTTGGCTGTAAAAAGGGCCGTATTGACTGAAATTATTTCAGTAGCTAGCTGTAGCCCGCGCCAATGCTGTCACCGTGGTTTACACCCTATGTTACTCATTTATAATCTAGCTTCCTACACATAAAGACTTAAAAAAATACTCTAGAATTTTTTTAGTTTATCCATTCACATTCATTATAGACAAAGAAAAATACAGGATAAAAAATTCTTTGATCTGTACACAGATTTCTAGGTGGATTTTCTCTATCTCACCTATTTTAGAAGCTAATCAATTTCGTAAGATGTTTTTCTGTTGAACATGATAGATATATGCGAAGATATTCCAGTCTGGTTCTTCAGAATGGAAAAGTTTGTAACACTTTACTGTATGTAAAAGTATGAGGGTTACCAAAAGCCTCACATGTTTACGTGATGTCTGTGGTACTGTTCATGTATAGTACATATAAGCTCGTATAGGCTGCCACTAACCATTGTGTCAGCTTGATAGTTATTCCTGTTATTATAAAAAAAACTATAGATTATTTTAAAGTCCTATAAACAAAACGTTATTAGTTTTTCTATGTACATAATGATTTAATAGTCTCGAATTCATCAAATCTCTCTTGCAATTCAACGCGGAATTCCAGTCGGGTACAAGACGGGTGGATTGTCAAATTATTGTGATTCAATTGGTTATTTATTAATATTAAAAAAAATACTTAATTATAAATGACATGTCAAATTTAATATCATATTTTAAAAAACCGTATATTTTCCACTGAAGTATATCAATTCCTGTCACATACATAATAAATTATTCAGTATAAAAACTTCTATTTCCAATAGCTAATAATATTTCTACGTACCATCCGTCTATTATTATGGTGTTTTAATACAATGTTGATAATTTGAGTACCCTTCAACCATACAATTATATTATATCTCTTTCTACTACTTAAATTCTTTTATAACATTTACCTTCATGCATTTGAGACTGTTTAAATGTTACAGATGTAGATTTTTGGAACTATGTATGAGAATTTTATGAACTTACCCTCTACTTTCGCGACGTAGTAAGAAGTTATAAAAGTATAATTTATACTATATATATATTATATTATACCACAGATAAAATAATGCTACATATGTACTTACTAATGTATTATATAAGAGGGGGTGCCAGTAACGGGTATTACCATTACTGGCACCCCCTCCTATATAATACATAATTACCACACTAGTCAGTGTATTAATTTCTCGTGAAAAATGATGATCTAATAAACCTAACTTCATTCCCATACTATTGCCTAATGCTCCATTTTATATTCGTATATACTTACTATAAGAAATAGTAAACTAAAAAATATACCTATAAAAACTGACGCCTTTGATGTATTAAAAATATTTTTGTTTATAAATATGTTAACATGCATCGATACTAGGGATATATATAACTCCTTGACTTTCCATTAAATTATCCTTAATCCTTGAGTGGACATCAATAATTAATTTAATTTAATTTATAAATGGAATTGAAGTAGAAGCCTACTACTATAACACAACTTAGACCTAATAGGACATCAGCTAGATTCTTCCGTTTATATATTTTTTATTCTATGCCTGTATATTGTTACGTAATTTTATTTTATGACAATCACAGTTTCAACAAAAATGGTGTAACATTTAGTTATTGAACTATTGTAGAGTTGGGGCATGATAGGACGGTATCTTATCATGCGACACCATAGACCGGTAGTAGAGTAGGACCCCAATTGCCATGGATTAAGACTGGATAAGATGAGAAATGATGGAGAGAGAAAAAGAGTGGTATATGGTAGGTATATATATACATGTAATTGCTATTGGCGAATATTATTAATTGGCATAGGACAATTCAATGTGATCTGCAACATGTAAAATTACACCGTAAATCTTCCTAGAATAAATAAAATAAAATAGTAATATATATATCATACCTAACATATATCATACCTAGTATGTATTATTATATATCATACCTAAGTAGGAGAGTAGTATAACCATTACAAGTATTTTTCACACAAATGTTAATCTTATTAATTAGCTATTGGCAGTTGTCAACGCCGAAAACTTATTTCGCTCGATATATTTGAATCCAACGTGGCAGGCGGCTAGCCTAGAGATAGTTGAATCACGGATTCATTTAGTTTATTAGAGAGTCAGTCTGAAAAATAAAGTAATTATTAAAGATTGGAACTCATGACCTTTCAGACTAAATAGGTAGGTACACCACTAGGCTACTACGCTACCAAAAAATTACAACTAATATAAATTCTGAGATTCTTTAGAGAAGAAATATTGTTTGTGACATCATTTTAAAATACTTAGATATTACCTACCACTTTTATTTAACATAATTGAATGTTTAATCATACACAGACGTTACGACGACCAAGTTTAATAACTATTTATTGTAGGTACCTGTTTATGTATTTAGTTACTATTCCTTGACAAGAAATATCTAATCTCTTAAAATAAAATGTATCTACTTGTTTTCTCAGAGATTAGGTATATAAAAATTAAACACGGATCACATGAGTGATTTTCAGTGCATTACAATTATTATGTAATATAATAATAAGGAAATATTCACTATTAATAATAATAACATATACCACGCCTTTTATCCCAGATGGGGTAGTCAGAGGAAATATCAACAGTTGACGTCGTCATGGTGAACGGAACACTTGACAAGCCCACATTTCGATCAGTAGATTTAAATCCAACGTAGTAGAAAAGTAGGGGTTTTCTATCACCAGTGAGTAAATCACAAATTTCAATTGACATAGAATGATTTTTTGTTTTCACTAGATTCGAACTCACGACTATTCATTTTAAGCTGCGATGGTGAACGCTTTACCATTTTGTCTCATAATAATTTTTTTTTCGGGGTTCGAACCTCGGCTCTGGCCATCGTAATTTCAAACCCCATTTGATTTGAAGGGGGTTTGAATCAAAGTTTCTGGCCGCGTCTGTTGGTATGTTCGCGATAATCTTAAAAACTACTGAATTGATTTTAATCCCGTTTTTTATGTATCAACATAGTGATTCTTGAAAAAGTGTATTCGTTATAGATTCGTGTTATTTTTTTTTTATTATTTTCAGTATATTTTAATTTTTTTCTTATGGAGTGTCAACTTATAAATTTAACTGGAAACAATGAGTAGGACCACAGGCAGAGTCGAAAACAATAGCCAATATACTAGTAATATTATAAACGTATATGTTTGTATTAATAGTTATATATTTGTTATTCAAACAGAGTTAAACGTCTGGTCGTCCTTATATTATATTTTGTACACAAATGTTGTAGTTAGATCGTAACCTACCTATAGGTACTAATGCATTATTATTTTACTATTGTTTATATTAAATCACACAAGGAAAGTAGTTAGTTGAGATATACAATAAAGATATTTTATTACTTTATTTCACAATGATAAAATTATCTTCTTCAAACAACAGATCTTAAGCCGTTAGTTCACAGATTTATAGACAAGTTTCTAATGTGACTAAAACACGTTGCCTTTTATTAAAGTGACTACTGGTTGCGCAATAACATCGCAATTTTAATATTTAAAAACTTATATATTTAGCAAATTTGTTCTTCTAAAAATGTAGTTTATTTAGAACACCGTTAGCAAAGAAACGTGCCTTCTTTCTAGTGTACTAAATTATATTACAAAAATAAAATAAGAATAAGAATAATTTCAATTAGTGTTTTCAAATTAAAAGGATTTAGTGCTAATAAATATCAAAATTACATATTTAATGAAAAAGGATTAAGCCAAACAAATACGTCACTTCTGTCTAATTATTTTAGCTACAGAGATTGATAAAAAGGAATCTTCAAAATGGGCAAGTAAGTATAATTATAATTCTATAATTTTATTAAAAGTTAAATTTTTATAATCCTATATAATGCCATGTGTGTAACAATAACCACTAATTAAATTGACATTAAAAATATATCTATTTAATAATAAGTAAACGTCTGTATTTATAAAATTAATTTGATACATACAAAGTAAATGCTATAAATTGCAAAAATAATCGGAAATTCTTTATTGGTTTAACTGAACTTTCTACATTAAATTATATTTAATACCTATGAAAATTATTTTGTAGATCAGATTTGAATTGGTTTTGGTTTCTTCAATGACAATTAAATTATGAAAATTAAATTACATTATGTTACTTTAATATGCAAATTAAATATCCTAAATATTCTCTTTATTATTTTATTTTGTAGATAAGATTTCAACAATGAAATCGGTTTCTTCACTGACAATGAAAACTAAATTACATTAGGTTACTTTAATATGCAAATTAAGAAGCCTAAATATTCTCTTATACTATTTTATTGCGTAGTTGAGAAAGTATATTGCGTAAAAAATATAATCCATTGATATAATTGATATGATTATTAAAAATCAATAATGTGAATTATGTAGAAATAATCTCCAATAAATTATCTACTTTTTGGAGATTAATTTTACATAATAGTTACATAATAATTAATAGTTCTAAGATATCTACAAATAATTCTTTAATTGTTCCAGAAAACAAGAGGATGGCGAATCTGAAGTAACTAGTATATCATTTTTCACCTTGGTAAGTAGTTATTGAAGTTGTTTGGACTTGTATAGTAAAAACTGTATAAAAATTCGTTGCTTTAGAGGATAGAGACACACGAACAAACAGCGATTTTGCTCTGTACTATTAATTACATTATACTTTGATTTTCTTTCTCAAGGGTAACATGTTAAATATGTAGACAAAAGAGTACAAAACTGTTGTAATAAGTGACTATTAATACTCACTTGTTTGAACAAATATTTATCTCTTTGCTTAACCGTTTATTGGCACGGTATAATAAGTACATGGTATTACATATTTATCAGATAATTGATAGTAAATGTAAAATAAGCTACTAAAGTCAGTCTTTATTACTAATTTATTTGTTTTCATAACCACTTTAGATCAGTTAGATCACTGGGAGTAGACTTTAATATTCAACTATATGTATTAATTGCGGTTATCTGTCTTTGTCGCTTATAATTGCGCTGTCAAAGATATATTAGCATGTCTAAGAAAATTAATAATAATGAATTGATAGTGGCAAATCTGGTCCACTAATTAATACGACCATTGACTCTAATAAACCACAATTTGTAGTGGGCAATTTACCTTGTAGCTGTGTTAGGAAGATTACAGAGAAAGAATTTTATATCCTTTACACTACTTCATACCTAAAGATTTTGTTGTTATATAAAGTTTAATTTATTTACAGTACAGATTCGCCAGCAGAATAGAATAGAATAGAATAGAACAGAATAGAATAGAAAATCATTTATTCAAATAAACTTAATTTAAGCACTTTTGAATAGTCATAACACTTTGTTAATAAATTTTATCTACCACTCGTTCGTGTGTTGCTTTTTTAAATAATCTTTGTAAGTTTACATTTACAAGTCGAAACGTGTGAATACAAACTACCAACATGCACTAATTTTTTGGGTCAAATATAAATATGCAATAAGATTAAATCAGTCGTAGTGATAAGAGCAGACCAGTCCCTACAAGCAGCACTCGTTTCATGAGTATGACGGATGAGCCAGCCATCACTGCGCTCGACCATATTTTAGGGAGCCCAATGACCCGGCCCACCACGCCGCCACAAGGTTGGACATTTTAGTGAGCATGACTACTCGTTCCACACGACCATGTCACAGCTACAAAAATTACTATATGGTAGTTACAGTATTCGCACTTTGGATGCATACGGCAATCAATACAAAAGCCGCTACGCTATCATATATCAAGAAAGCAGTATGAAAATTAAAATTATAACGTTGTCCGCAAAAACTTATTCTTTCTATATATTGCTATCATCTATAAATTCATCTATCTTATAATAGGCTTTTTTACATAACATTTGTTTAATATAAGATTTGAATTGCCTCTCTGTAAGATTTAGCGTAGACTCTGGCTGTTTATTATAGAATCTTACGCAATTACCATAAAATGAATTACTAACTTTGTGTAGACGGCATTTAGGTAAAATTAGCTTATTTTTATTGCGTAAGTTTCTACTTGTACAGTCTTTAAGTTTCTTGAAACTATCTAAGTTTTTCCTTGTATACATAATATTTTCATAAATGTACTGTGAGGCAACGGTGAGAATATTTGATTCTTTAAAGCATTGACGTAATGACTCTCTAGAACCCATACCATGAATAGAACGTATGGCTCTCTTTTGTAAAATAAATATAGTATTTACATCGGCAGCTTTACCCCATAGCAGTATGCCATATGACATAATGCTATGGAAATAACTAAAATATTTTACGTCGATTAAGTATATAAGGTTCGATTTCGTGTCAGTATCCACTTTTTTCAATATTGTACCAAACAAAACAAATTTATTCGAGTTTTCTACCACAACATTTTTGATGTCTCCATTTCTCTTGGTCTATATTTCATTTCTAAGATTGGCCGCGTATACACTATGGGCCAAATTGTAGTACCTACTTATACGCAAATTTGTATTGTATTCATGGTTAAATATTATATCTAAAAGACATTAAATATTGACCTATGGCATATGGTTACAGGTCTATACAATACGAGAAGAATATTTAAAAGCAGCGCTAAATCAAGATTTTGGCTACGTCGACAAGCATCAAATGGGTGACTTTGCTGCAAAAATGAGCAGGTATCTTAGTCTATTACTATTCAAATAGTCTATACAATTTCATATACTTGTATGCTAATAAGAAAATATATGAAAGAAAAGTATGTAAATTTATCGGAATGTAGAATATAGAAGCGCATCCATATTGATGGCATGGTCACACCACCTACGCTAACAATATATGATGGCGGAGCATCAGTAAAGGAACGCTCGTGTGGCCTCTATGTGGTTTATGTGGAAGCACTTTATTAATTGTGTGAAAGGGCATATTTCTGGCATAGCACTGAAACCAAATGGATGAAACCGAACCTATAGGGGTCTATTATTACTAAGAATCCCCTGAGACGCAGCTTTTTTAAAATAGACATGACGTAATTAGTTTAGAATCTGACTATTATTAATTTTGTGTTTCAGTGATATTATAAAGTTGGAAGATGGTATCGGAGAAAAATTAGCAACAAGTGTCTTCTATATAACAGTCAGCGTTAGTTCTATCGTCACAGCCCTCGCGCTAGGTTGGAAACTAGCCTTATTGTGTCTGATATCATTTCCTGTAACGTTTGGACTACTTGGATTGGCAGGATGGGTAATGTTACCATTATTACAAATGCGAAAGTTTGTGAGGATGGATGATTAATACTTATTCTTACACAAAAAATAATAAAAAAAAAACTTAACCCATTCGAATGAAATACGGTACCTATACCATCATTCAATCAGATATCAACGCAATTAAATGTATTTAATAGCGCTGTTTTTATACCGCATATATTTTAACAATCAGATAATTGCTATATCGTCATATATATATCGTTCACAGTTAAGTTCTAGACTCTCCACAAAAGAAGCCGATGCATCAGGTAAAGCAGGGGCAGTAGCTGACGAAGTTATTTCATCAATTCGTACAGTATATGCGTTTAATGGACAGCAAAAAGAAATAGAAAGATACGGAAATCATTTAAGAGACATACGAAAAATAAATATTAAAAAAGGTAAAGCCATGTGTGACGTAAATATTGGTTCTTGTTGATTATAATTTTAGAAAATGGACGAATTTATCACCATAAAATTGTTATTCAGCATGATATATAACTAATCGATTTATTCTATTCAAACATTTCTTACAACTAACTTTCAAACTGAAAATATATGCAGAAATAATACTAATACTAGCTTATAAACGCTGCTAACCAAAAATGTAATCTTTCAGGCTTTTACAATGGCTTATCGATGGGAATACTATACTTCTGTATATTTGGTTCCTATGCTCTTTCCTTTTGGTTTGGATACAAACTTACAATAGATGAACCAGAAATATATAATGTGGCCACCATGCTTGCTGTAAGTTTAAATAAATATAGTGGAGACTCGAATAACGTAATTGTTGTCGTAACACATTTGGATAAGAGAAAATCCGGTAAATTGAATATTTCAGATGTTCAATTGTGTTGACCGAATCCGTTAAGTCCGCGATCCACAGAGATGAAATAATAGAAATAACAACTAACCCATTTTATATTGACAGCCTAACTGGAATTAGAATTTTTGAGTCTCCACTATATGTTAATGTTATGTATATTACTATCTAAACATAAAGATACTAAATTGGAGAAATTGTACATTTTAGGTGTTCGTGAATGTCATGACGGGGTCGGAAAATTTCGGTATGCTATCGAGCCTTGTCGAGGTGTTCGGGGTTGCCTGCGGTGCTGGAGCACAGATATTTAAGTTGATCGACAATGTGCCTACCATCAACCCGTTATTGAACCAGGGTGATGTTCCTAAAAATATCGATGGAAATATTGAGTTGAAAAATGTTATATTTCACTATCCTTCAAAACCTGACATGCCAGTAAGGATCTATAACACTAATACAGTAACAACACCAATTGACAAATGATAACATTATTTAATTTCAATTTAATTAATGAATTCTTAATAACTTTCATCATTAGATTTTGTAACCCTACTTTGATTTTGATAGAAATTAAAGAAATCTCTCTTCACTATTGACAGCATATCATGCTATAAGATTTCTAAAATTATGATCACACTATCTAGTACTGTACTACTCTAGCTATCTGTACTACTCTTCCACTCTCATTTTGTAGTTATTTATATGTCTTAGTAGTTTAACGTCCAAATGGGTTTTTTAATACTAGATATAGAACTTTTTGATAAACCCTAATTGAGTTATTCGTTTTATCAATGCAGGTTTTAAAAGGAATAAGCCTGAGAGTAAAACGCGGGCAGTCAGTGGCGCTGGTAGGACACTCGGGATGTGGCAAGTCAACTATCATACAACTAATATCACGGTATTACGATGTTGTATCTGGAAATGTAAGTACTGATCACCGTTTTGCCAAATAAAAGTTTGCCATTATTATTCTTCTATATCAACGACAATAATAATGGCAATTTTTTATTTCATATAATTTTATAATATCAACACTATCTCATCACAATAAAACTTTAAATCCTGTAGTCAATGTCAAGTCGTACCTTAAGTCGTTACCTATAGAATACTGACAAAGCGGCCTGTAAATAGCTACATGCGGAAACTTAACTGAACCTACAGGATATTTTTCCTCAACTTGTATAGTCTCTGACAACAAACCTACCCATAAATAAGGGTGCCCACTAATACTCTCAGTGTAAGCGCGATCCGATGTGCACGTATTATAATTATTTTATTTAATATCGTAATTGCTCAGCGCGGCATAAGCCGTGCTAGTCGAAGTTCCAGCCATGTGTGACAAACTTGTGGCCAACGAACTCCTTGCGTTCCTGCAGCAGAAGCTGGACGTAATGGACGAAGTAAGTGCAGTCCAGATCTGTGTGTCCAACTTCAGCCAGGACGACATCGCGAGAGCGAAGGCTCTGCTCTTCGAGTCCCTAAATAAGACTGATCAGATGGTGTCTCGTAGACGTGACGGGACACAAAAAAGCGTACAGGACATTATAACGCTGCTGAAGGAGACCGATCCAGACGACGTGCTGACTTTTGTGGAGGATTTAAACAAACTCCAGTCACATTTGATCACGTCGATGTTACCAGCCTACTCAAGGATATCGTGTCCTTAAAAAAGAGTTTGGCAGATGTGACGCTACGTTTCAATGCGTCAGAGCACATAATTAGTGAGTTGCGCAAGGAAGTGGACAGTTTGCGCGACTCGCAAACTAGGTCACTTGATGCTACGAACATCAACACGCGCCGTGGGGCATGCCGCGATGCGTCAGCGGTTTCGGCGTCGACACTGACGTCACCAGATGTGGTGTCACCGCCGGCCGCCGCGCCCCCCGTGCTCCCCGCCCGCAGCTCGCGAGCGCCGATACCGCTGCATGTGGAAGCAGCGCTAACAAAATCCTCGGTGCAACCACAGCGTAGATTTTGCCGCCGTCGTCGCTAGCAAACCGGCTGCTTCAGTACAGCGGCGTGTGCCAAAAACGGCACTGAACATTGACCCTACGTGTGCTGCCACTGGGAACCGCGACGATGATGGCTTCGTCGTGGTACAAAAGAAGAACAAACAGGGGCAATAGAAATCATTGTGGCACTGCACTCACTGGGCCCAACTTTCTGCTGCGTGCTGCTACACCGACCACGACAATGTACCTGTCCCGTCTACATTACGCCACTAAGGAGCAGGACATTGTCGATTATATTCGTACCAGGAGTCTAACATTGAGGGTGACGCAGCTGAAGTCGAGTCACAACGCGAGTTTCAAAGCGTTTGTGGCCCTGGTCCCCACCGACTTGCTGCCCACCTTCATGAAAGAGGACTACTGGCCGAAAGGTGTGGTGTATCGGCGCTACCGTGGCAGATTGCCATCTTCAGTGCCGTGATCACACAGACAATATGATTGTATTAGTTTTTAAATATTATATTATATGTATGTTAGTCTATAAGGTATTTATAATATGGGCCTAGTTGCCTGAAATAAATGAATAAATAAAAATAAAATACTGTTAAAGAACAATGCGCACACTCGATTCAGGCAAAAGAAGACGTCCGAATGGCAGGAAAACTGAGACAGTTTCTTCGCGGAATATAATGAACGCCACTTGCGATATAGTTTGTAACAGTAAACACAGACGGTATCTTCGTCTAGGAGTAATTTTCTAGAACTTCGCCTAGAAGTAATTTTTCTATAACGCGCGTTCTATAAATATTTACTTAATGTAGAAAAAGGGGAACAAAGTATGTCTAATTTTTATGACATTTTCTTATGACACAAATAGGTATCTGAAGCTTATCTGTCAAGTAAACTATGAGTTTGTAGAAGATAAATTAATATCTAAATGATTTTTTTTGTGTGATTCTACCACGACATTGGAATAAAAATTCAGCTAAAAAGAATTGACAAGAAATTGCCCTACTGCACTTTTCACACAAATGTTATTTAGTTTAGGGTCCAGTCTTACAAATTTAATAAAATCTTTTTCCTATTGCAAATATTATATGTTAAATAATAATATAATATTATTATTTAACATTATACACAATCAACGATATATATTTATAAATAAAATAATATAATATAAACTGTAATCTATATCTTATATTTCATATCTTTGTGTGTTTAAAACAACCAAATCGTAAGCGTCGAAATATTAAATATTCTGTAAGTGTCAATATAATCTGAAATATTAAAAAAAAAACTGAACTATTGTGTACTGTGTTATTAAACAAATTAAATCTAAAATAATACTCATACTCACTCAATACTCAAGCTATATAAATCAACAGGTTTGCGTGGACGATAATGATGTCCGCGAGTTATCAGTGCGGTGGTTGCGTGATCAGATCGGTGTCGTGGGACAAGAGCCTGTGCTGTTCAACACTACCATCAGAGAGAACATCCGCTATGGTCGAGAAGACGCTAACGACACTGAGATCGAAGTCTGCGCCAAACAAGCCAATGCGCATAAATTCATTATGAAATTACCTGCGGTAAGGCAACATTTTAGCTACATTCAGAATTCACCTATGTATATTCACTGTGCAAGTGTGAACTATTTAAATAAGTCTTCATAGTAGCTATAATAGCTTACTATCGCGACTTACTACTACTACAAATCCCAAAAGTCTTATATAAGATAATTTATATTTTTCATTCACTCCCGGGGATCTCACGGAAAACTAACCAAGTCCTCCTACTTCGTTAGATAAAAATATGGCTATGTATAATATATAAAACGATATGTGCATATCTCGAGTGTTGCATCATGTCCATGACTTCGACAGTTGACCATGCGTCTAACTACCCCTTTGGGGTAATATTTGTAAGGGCATATTATTGTTATTGTTATCGACATTCGTTACATAACCAACACAATATTTCAGGGTTATAACACGTTGGTGGGTGAGAGAGGCGCATCTTTGTCAGGTGGTCAAAAGCAAAGAATTGCTATAGCTCGAGCATTAATACGCAATCCACATATTCTACTTCTTGATGAAGCTACCAGCGCGCTAGATACAGCATCTGAATTGAAAGTGCAGAAAGCTTTGGATAAGGTAAATTTCTCAGAGAACATTTCAACTAAATGATCAATCTGGATACAACTTAGTTGGTTAGGTGGAATATAGTGCGTTCACTAATGCGACTACGATTTTCAATCTCTATAGCATGTTTTATTGTTCTAAAATTTCAAAGAAAATAAGAAATGTCGTTATTCAAAAGTGCTCATTGCTGCATTGTTTAATTTGCATGATCCTAAACCAGAAGGTTAAGTACTTAAAATAGGTATGTACCATGTCACACTTTTAGTAGTTTGGTGTTAAAATAAGTTAAATAAAATCCGGATTGTGTGAAAGAATATAATTATGTGACATAAGTTATGTAATATATATAGCTAGCACTGTAGTTCATAAGGAGGTTCTTTGTCCATACACAAAATCGCACAATTTAGCATCTAGTAGCACCGAATACCACTGCCCTGGAGTATCCTGCGTCACACGACGGCAGTCGACACGGGTACTAGCGGTGTAGGCCGTTTAGCACTCAGGTCGTGCGGTGTTCCGGGCCGGAGATTTGAACCCTGGAATTACAGAAATAACTGCTACTTTTATAGCCGTCCATAAAACCCTCACTTGTGTTAGCGATGACGCCTTTCATTCCAGAAGCGAGATGAAATGGTGCAGATGGTAATGGCACTAAGCTATGGCTCTCAAAGGTGAGGTAAAAGAGAATAAAGATGGAATAGCTTCAAATAGCTCATATTCTCCTAACTAATTAATAACTATAAACTGATTGTATTCATTAATTACAATTAATTCAACTAGTAGGTAGATGAAAAGCATTTCTATTGTGCAATTACATTGGTATAAATGACATTATGGTATAGTACTATGCTATAGTTATTTTAAGCGTACAATTAGTAAAAACAGTAACAAGTTGTATGGCAGGAACATAAGTTAATTAAGCAGAAAACTTAAGGTCTAGGAGATATAATAGATAGATACAGCTATATAGTGATATAATTTGTATCACTATATAGCTGTATCTATCTATTATATCACAGATTCTATATATCAGTGCAATACTCACCCAATTCGGGGTTTATAATTCCTTTAAAAATGGTCTTGCAAGTATATACTAGTATATATTGCGAAACAGCAAAATAAAAGCGTAGAATTCCAGCTTAAGAATAGAATCGGTAGCAGAAGCAAGTACGTGTCCACCGTGTAGGTTAGCCAGGGACGAATGAATCTCGACCTAACACGTAGGTGCTGGACGGCTTCGATGTCCCCCCTCGCACCGGTCTCCGTTGCATCGCGAGATCGGCTTGCATTTAATAAACATACCGTGCAACCCGGGTTTGCTTTCGCATTTATTTTTATTTTATATAATTTTTAATAAAGTGCATAGTATGAGTAAAGAAGTTGTTACAACCATCACCTATTCCTTTAATATTTTTGCCTAATACTGTAGCATATTCATTCATGTAGGTATTTGTAATTTGATATATATTGAGAGTAAAGAAATGATTTGACGAACAGATCTTGCTTTCTTTTGATTGACGGCCTAAAATAGTGAATATATTTCTGTTTCATTTGTTTAGGCTCAAAAAGGTCGTACAACAATAATAGTAGCACATAGACTGTCAACTATAAGGAATGTCGATATGATATACGTATTTAAAAGCGGAGAAATAATTGAATCTGGAAACCACGATGAATTAATGAAGCAAAAAGGTCACTATTATGATATGGTCACGATACAAGCACCTCCTGAAACTGAAGAAATCTCAGGTAAGACGTAAACAGTACACATTCATCTAATATACGAATTAGACTTTGTACAAAGTCGTCGGCGTCTCTATATCATTCAACAAGCAGCTTGTTTGGAAAGTTGTGTTGTTGTTGTGTTTCGTTTGAAAGTTGAGATAAGGCCGTGAAATTATAAGGTCCGAAGGGATGACATTTCAGAGGAATGTCCGTGGTAGTATTTGTGCAGGTATATGAATGAGACTTACTATACTTACCATTTAACACATTGAAGACCGCATTGAAAAAACTTATTTCTCACATCCGGCACTTTTTTTATTGTTAATTACGTATATTATTTTTAAATATGTTTTAGTATAAAATATTTTGAGGTAGACATTATTTAACCTCTAAATTTATTTTAATTAAAGTGCCCAACGTGTAAATTTACTTTCGTTGCGGAGTGACCCAGCGGTGGGCATACAGTCTTTAACGTGCTAATAATAGGTATTACAATTAAATACATAAAAAATCACAATAAATAATGTATAAAATTTATTGGTAGTCCAATTATTTTATATTTACCATAATTCTACTTCACAGAAAAACCAAACTACATTCGTGAGCTGTCCGTAATGAGCGAAAAGGGTGAAGATGAGGACATGCAATCAAAATCAATGGTATGTACTTAATTATCTAATTCATGCCGGACTTTGCGTCGTTTTTGTTTTTCTCAGCCCTTTTTTTATGAATGTTAGGAATAATAATTAATCTGCTCTGTCGTGAAGTGAATAAATTACTGCTTCCTTAAATAAAGTGTGTTGTATATATTATAGTTATTGTACTGGCTGTTTAATATTCTTCTATAATAAAGAATATACGCAATTCTTTTTTATTGCAGGAAAGTAATCAGATCGAAGAAATTATTCAAGATGTGTCCTTTTTCGAGGTTGTCAAACTTAATTCGCCGGAATGGAAACCTATTAGCATTGCTAGCACTTGTTCTTTACTAAGTGGCTTCGCTATGCCTGTTATCGGTGTTGTATTTGGAGATTTTATAGGGGTAAGACATCTCTCTGCAAATTATGATCGGAATAATTATTTCTTTTCATGATTTCAAGACATTAAGTGCTTACATTTTTTTATTCAGGTCTTCTCGAATTCCGATAAGGATGAAGTGCTATCCGAAATCCACAGATTTATAATTATATTTATGATCGTGGGTGTCCTTTCTGGAATTACGAACTTCATTACGGTATTATAATACTTACTTTATATATAATCTAATATTAAATACATATATGTATCTTAGATAAACCTATCTACCTCTTTTGTTTTAATTAAAGGTATACTTTTATGGCGTAGCTGGGGAATATTTGACTGAGAGGTTACGAAAACTTATGTTTGAGAAACTTCTACGACAAGAGATCGCTTACTACGATGACAAGAATAATTCCACAGGTGCCCTTTGTGCGAGATTAGCTGGCGAAGCTGCAGCAGTGCAGGGGGTAAGTGGTTCCAGGCAATCTATCTCGCCTAAATAATTTAACAACTCTATTTGAGTGGTTACCTCTGTCTCACATATTTCTACCCCATATAGCTTCATGTGTTTCGATTTAAAGCCTTCAGGCTCCAGACATAAAAACCTGTATAATCTAGAAATACGAGTAGAAATAGAGGTCTAGTGATTGGTCACAAGTGACTGCTAAATTTAATTATAAAATTTGAATAAAATTATTTAATGATATCATATAATCTAAAAACTTATTTTCAACTTTCAGGCTACGGGACAAAGGATTGGTACAGTTTTGCAGGCAATAGGAAGCTTAATTCTAGCTTTAATTCTTTCATTGTATTATGAGTGGAGAGTGGGCTTAGTTGCATGCGCTTTTGTACCTCTGATGGCGTGTATTGTTTATAAAGAAGGAAGAATGATGAACGCTGAATCTTTTGGAAATGCTAAAATCATGGAATCAAGTTCTAAGGTAATGTTTATAATGCCTATCTATATCATAATAATTGTTGGTCAGAACCAGCCTTATTGATATTTGCCTTAACGACGACATTGTTAAGGACTTCTGGGTGAGTGGGACAGAGGTCTAGTGGTTTATCACACCGATTTCCTATGGTCGCAGGTTCGATTCCTCGCACAGGTCAAACATTTGTATTCATGAGTATGATTGTATCATTCTGGTATAAGTTGTCTAGTACCCATAACAGACGCTCTACTTGGAATTAGATGGCGCTGTGTCGATTGCCCAAGGATTTTATATACTATTATTACTTCTTTTTAATACTGCATTATTTGTTTAGTTGGCTGTTGAAGCGGTATCAAATCTACGTACGGTTGCATCCCTTGGCAAGGAGAACATGTTCCTGAACAAATATTCTCTACTGCTACGTCCGGGTCTTATACTCGCAAAACGGACAGCGCACTGGAGAGGAATCGTCTTCGGCCTGTCTCGGGGCTTATTCAACTTCATCTATGCAGCAGCCTTATACTATGGTGGAATGCTCATAATAAATGAGCATATTGATTATCCAACTATTTTAAAGTAAGTCTATATTTACGACCCCCCAGGACAATTCACACAGCGTCATCTAATCCAAAGCTAAGCAGAACTTGTATTATGTATATTATGACACTAGACTCTTTCAACTAATACAAATCATTCATATGCATTGAAATGTTTGTTCGAGGAATCGAACCTGCGACCATCGGAAGTAAGGCGGTGTGCAAGATTACCGAGATCGTCATAATGATGCGCCAGTGTGCGCTTGGGCGCTCCACACCGGTGCCTCCGGTCGCCCTTTCGATCGATTGCCCGTCCAATTCAAACGAGGATCGAAATTACGATGGCTTGAGCCGTGCCTAGCGGTACCCTCAGACTAAAGTTTATCCATCAGGCGGGAGTTGGCCTTCACCCGCTCCATAAGTCCTTTCGTGGGTTTGGAGTGTCATCTGCACTCGCCCCCCGTGGTCCAATGAAGCTGTAAAGGCCAGATGCGGCCAACAGCATTCGAGTAGTCCGAAAAAATCTTTAGTGTTAGTGACACTCTTACCTATTTAAAGCTTGCAAGCTTTAGTTTCTATTGCTAAAAAGCTTGTAAGCTATGTTTGGGATGGAAGCGTAAGATATGGCAGTGAAATTATATCAGTTAAATAATTAATATATGTGAGTATCTATTTTTTCTTCTATTACAGATCAGCCGACTCACTATTAATAGGCGCTGGGACAGCCGCACAAGCTTTTGCCTTTGCCCCGAATTTTCATAAAGGAATTAAAGCTGCAGGTCGTGTAGTAGTCATGCTCAGTTTGAAATCTAAAATAACCGATCCGGCAGAACCCGTAAAAAGATTTGTAAGTAGCTATTACTAGTACGTACATAAATATACTCGTACTGCAGTAAAATGGCTGAATGGTTTCAGTTTTATAGGTAATACATTTTATCATACACATATACCCTTCGATATTGATGTCTATAAAAGTGTAAACAAGTCGTAGATTACATAGGTAAGTGCTCGCGTTAGATTAATTGTATTATGACATTTTTAGAAAGAAAATGGCTCAGCAAGCCTTCAAGAAGTATATTTCAAATACCCAACTCGCCCGAATGTGGAAGTACTTAAAAACATGGACCTCAAAATAGAACAGGGTCAAACTATAGCGTTGGTGGGGGCGAGTGGATGCGGTAAGAGCACAGTCATACAACTCCTCCAGAGGTACTACGATCCAGATTCAGGAATTGTGGTAAGATCCATACTTTCCCGTAATATTAATAATTATAAATGATTTGGAATATAGCAGTTGGGATAACAAAGGCTACTTTTAATCTCGGTCAATCATGGTCATCAACCCAGTATTAGTATAAAATCGACCAATACATTAGTAGGACAGAGCATGTATTAGTAAATTTTACTGTTAACTAACAGTCAGAATGACATCCCCTTAATTCATGATTGCTGGTAGATATACACTTGGTATTGCATGAAATCTTTCTTTGTACCAGAATGATGACAAACAACAAGCAACAAACTGTGGTAAGGTCTAAGGCGAATACTAAATCAAAGAGATCGTCATTATTTCATTATTTATTAATTTTCTACTCTAAGTAGGTAGATACTCTCTATGTATATTATTCCATAAAAAATATAACAATACCTTTAATTTCAGACTCATGATGATATTCCTATTCAAAGTCTTAGTTTAGCAGATGCAAGAAAAACGATAGGAATCGTCCAACAAGAACCAATACTCTTCGACCGTACTATTGGTGAAAATATTGCATATGGAGACAACTCGCGTCAACCAACTATGGATGAAATTATTGAAGCCGCTAAACAAGCAAATATACACAACTTCATTATATCATTGCCTTTAGTAAGTATACCTATGGGATATGATCATATTAGATTGATTCTTTAATAAAATAAAGAAAGACAAACTATTTGCTTTGTCTCGTTGAATTTGATAATGAACTTGATGATAATACATTGTTATTATATGTCGATGTATGAATATGGTAGATGTAGTAGGTACATGTGCCCGCTCCGCAATTTTCTCTACAGCAGGAGCGAGCCACCAACGCGACGCTTGACGGCCGTGCCCACTGGAGCCAACCCAACCTGCGTCGCCCTCATGGCAATGAGAACCCGAATGCATTATTACCATACCGCCCGGAGCACACCAAAAGCAAACATTGCTCAGCCATCATTAATTAATCACGATGGTTCCAAGCGAAGGTCTACTTAAGATAGTTACATTGCTGGTATACAATGGGGTGTAAGAAATCCTTTGTACTTATAACAATGCCACTTAAGATCCTATTATTGTTTATTAACCAGTGCAGGTTTATAAACAATAATAAGATCTGACATTAATATGTTAATAGGGTTATAACACCAACATCGGCTCGAAAGGTGCTCAGTTATCTGGTGGACAAAAACAGCGCGTAGCTATAGCCAGGGCATTAATAAGACGTCCAAAAATATTGCTACTAGACGAAGCTACCAGTGCCCTTGACACAGAGAGCGAAAAGGTAATATCTAATCATTACTTTTTCCTATATTGCACTCATGTTCTCAATATAATATATAAGCACATAAAATATAAAAAGCACCATATCTACTTTGCCAACATTTCGTTTCAGGTTTTTGTTTACGAAATAAATCAAAACAGTTTGTTTTTTACGTATAGGTGGTGCAGGAGGCGTTGTCGGCTGCAAGCGCGGGTCGCACGTGCGTGACGATCGCGCACCGGCTGAGCACGGTCCGGGACGCGGGCCGCATCTGCGTGATCAGCGGCGGGCGAATGCACGAGGCTGGCACGCACTCAGAACTCATGCAGCTCAAAGGGCTCTACTATAATCTTTACAGGACTGGAAATAGTTAGCACAACGCAAAATAAACGTATGTGACATGATCATGGTCTAATCCAACTCAGCGCGAGCACCAGACCTATCCACATCGAACTCTATAGAGTAATACATACTAACTCTATGGCGCACTTATAGGTGGTGCTAATTACAATCCCAGTAACAATGTGAAATCATTATTTTCAACAAAAAGTGTTTGTGGAACATTTGTTCATGAATAAAATAAATATGAATCATTATTAAAATGAGTTTTATTTTATAATTCAATGCAACTTCCTGATTACGACTTAGTGCTCTACACCAATAATTTCAGTTACAACTTTGCTGGATCGTTTTGTCTATACTGTACATTTGTAGGTACCTATAGAACCCATGGTACATACGAATCCTTTGCTAGCTACATTTGCAAGCGATTTAGTATTTCCCAACAATCGTACCTGAAGTTAGCAAATAATACCTACATATATATCTCAAAACTATCTATTTTCAATATTTAAAACATTCTTAGCGAGTAGCAACTGTATTGTATAAACAAGTTAAAACTACAAGAAAAAAAACATTAAAAAACTAGAAAGTTGTGTGATTATCATGGGATCAAATTATCAGATCTTGATTTGGTGAGTATGGAACTACTTATCTTGGAACCAGACCATCCAAATATATTTATCAAATATTATATAAATTCGTCCACAACTGACAAAGATAATTTGTGAACATTCATAATGATATAACCATAGAAATTAGAATAGAATCAGTTATAAAACTATTTGTTTTGATTTCGGCGGAGTTGGAAGCAGAAAAATTATACAAAAACTTCGTCAAATGCATCTGTTAATGTCAGACTACTGTCAAATGCCAAGTAATGTGTCAAACAAGAAAAAAAAATCAACATAACCTCCAATTATTTATTTACTTACTATTATGAATTATGTTTACTGAAACTTATCAAACAAAACAAATATTTTATCCTGATCTCTTATACAATCATTTAAATTGTATTTATAGGTAATGTTCTTAATATTTTATTTAAAAAAATCTCCCGGTTGTAGTTCCTCCATATATTAATAAAACATTTACGTTTTACTATGTAATTTAGTTGGATCAGTTTAAAATATGTATTATTCTGGTTATTTATGTAGTTTCAATAATAGAATAGTCATTCATCCCTTTATGATTAACTTCATTTTAATTCAGTATATTTAATTTATGTGTGTACTATTTTATCACCGTTGGAATTAGTTATTATGTGTTTAAATAAAAAGTAACCTTTGGACCTCACTAGAATGTGTAACATTTATAGTGGTGTGTCGTTCGCAGTACTGTTGTTCTCAGTTGTCTCATATATTTTTGTGATGAACCAGAAACAAACAGGTGGGTGTTGTAATTAGTTATAAAAAGTTGTAGATTACTTCAGCTTTTTAATCATTATAAAAAATATCCAAAAGTATACAGGAAAAAGTTTCAAATATTATGATATGAAAAAGAGTTTAGTTAAGTGGATTATATGTTGTATATTTTGAAGGTGTTTTTTTTTTAAGTTGGATGCTCATTATTTATATATCTGATTATAAATTATTTAGATAGACATTAGAATGAATTATGAACATTGAAAGAATTATCTAAATAATTGTTGGTCATGATTTATTACTGTTTCTATAATGCTTCAAGAAAAAGTATGTAAGCATGAGAATCTAAATTAAAAATAATTACATTTATAATGTGGAATATGCAGAACTGGAATGCTAGCTGCCACCTACCTAGTGATTTAAAATTTAGTACTATCATAAAACATATAAAAGAATCCTAATGAGCCAATGTATCTATTTTTTCAGACCTCATGGCGAAAAATGGTTTACTATTTCTTTCTAATGTTGCCAAAACAAACGACATTTGTGTTAGAGCCTCAAAGTATGTTAAGAAAATGTTATACATTAAAATAAAAGGAAAAAATGAGAGTGTATTGCCAGTTGTCAGTAAGCAAATTGTGGATTTATATTCACAGGTAAATATTGTCTGAATACTTAATTTATTAAAACTGTTAACCCAGATGGGGTAGATATTAATGAATTTATAATGTTTTTTTTAAACCTACTTAGCGTTAAAGACTATAGCACCACTAACTGGATGTAAACTGACCATTTGACCTTGCATTAAAATCATGAACTATCATCTTATCATACAATTATGATAGTTATTATCTTCAATTAGCACACACAAACATGTCTATATTTATAGCTTTATAAATAAAACACAAATAGCTTTAGCTCAGTAGAACTTTTCTCTTTCTTTTTTTCCATAAACTAATTATTTACATTTTTAATAATATATAAAAATAATAAAAATTACCCACTTGTATTAATACATACACCACCTGGTTCTGAATTTAATTATTTATTTACTTTTATTCCATTGTTTCTCTTAATGCTATGAGAATGTATGAAAAGAACATTTATTAGTTTCTGATTTAATTATATCAGATTGTTATGACTTTCAGGCCACATCTAAATGCAACAATTTAGATGTTAGACTATTACTAAAACCAATTGAATTGACTAAGAATATTAAAACAAATTATCCGATAGACCTCATACTATATGACAGTGATTTATCAAAGGAGGTGGAAAGTTTGCAGCATTCGATAGCAACACTTAATGCTGGAAGTAAACTAGAATCTATAGGTGAGTAACTGCATCGACTGAGTCTATTCATTTAACTATAAACTACATCAGACAAATTGCAAATTTTGTGATACTTCACATCCCTAGTGTCGTCACATATTTTGCAATTTTACATTAGGAAACTGAGTGTAAACTCTCAATAAAACAATAGCAACTACACAATACTACAAATAGCAATAACTTTAATTATCTGTAATTTTTAAGTATTATATTTCGTTAATAGTTAAATTTTCGCATGTTTTACATGTAGGACCTTTCCCACCCCTTGTCACACTTTGTCAACCTATTTCTCGAGGAGACTTTGGGCCAATGAAACCCAAATGCCAAATTGTTTTTACATATATTTCAGCGCGTCTCTTCAAGGTTACTTGTGAAGCGAGAGCCGGTAACTACTTTGCCCAGATAGTAAGTATGGCTATTCAAAGAGGCAACGAGCCTGAGCCTTAAGCCGAGATTCGAACCCTTAATGGAGCCCTCAAACTAAAGTCATATTTATTAGGCAGGAGTTGACCTTCAGACGGTCCATAAGTCCTTCCGCGGGTTTGGTGTGTCACCTGCACTCGCCCGGTGAAGCTGTAAGGGCCAGCTTGTGGCCAACAGCATTAGAGTAGTCTGAAAAGAAAAGCTTCCAGTATCTTACGTACACTGCCTGGATAAACCGCGTTGAATTGCAATGATTGTTTTTGTGGATTATCACATTTTTTTTTCAGAAATAGTGTCAGATCATGTGGGTGAAGCTAGTGAAGAACCAGTAAAGACGTATGAGTATGTGGCTCTGGGCGGTACATTCGACCGCCTCCACAATGGTCACAAGATATTGCTGTCACAAGCTGCGCTGCGTGCCACGAAGCATCTCACGGTGGGAGTCACTGATGTTAATATGATTCAGTGTAAGGAACACATTTTTGAAATGATGTTTTTTACTTCGAATGTAGACTTATATAGAAGTGAAATTTATATCTCTCTTGACTTACTAAAACTTGCTGCTCTTTTTATATATAGTATACATACATAGTAACAACGCCCTATTTGTCTCTGATCAATGCGACGGTTAACTGGTCGAAAAAGCCATCAGGCAGGCCACCATATAGATAGATAGATATATCGTTTATTTATTTGTTACTTATGACACACAACATGTTCATAAAAATAGACAATACATAATAAGACATAAGATTTACAAGTTTGTGTTATTATGTGTGATCTGTATCAATACAAAAAGGTCGAAGCTCAGCGTGGAACATTGTTCAGGGAACAAAACACTGATTTCACTCAAATGGATTGAAGCTGCCATTTGAGAGTACGTGAAAATAATAATTAAAATAAATATAAAATAGTAATATATACAATTGTGTGTGCAAAATCAATACTACATATAAATAAAATTGGAGTGTTTGTTTGTTCCTTATAATCTCTGAAATGGCTAGACTGATTTTGACGGGACTTTTATTGGCAGGTAACTAAAGTAATAAGGAGTAACTTAGGCTACCTTTATTAATAGAAAAATAAAGTTAAATTACACGCGGAGGAAGTCGCGTGTATAGCTAGTTTTTAATATATTTATATAATAATATAGATATTATAGACATACAGTTGTCAGTGTATTTATTTTTTATTTTAGGTAATTGTGTGTTAATTTTATTTCGCAGCTAAAAAGCTATGGGAATTGATAGAGCCTATTGAAACCAGAATAAAAGCAGTGGTAGATTTTCTCACTGATATTAACCCTGAACTGGAGTACAATGTAGTCCCAATACAAGACTTGTATGGACCGACAAAAGATGACCCTAGATATCAGGTATTTCGTAGTCAATTTAATTCTTTAGTATTTGAAGACAGTATGGCACAGAAATACATACAAATAAATAAAAGTAAAGTGTCTGTTTGTAATTTGGAATTAAGAGCTTTTTACTAAAAGCATATGATAGTATATGCGGTACATCGAAAATTTATTTCAATAGTTGTTGTCTGTCTGTTATTGCTAATCTCTGAAACGGGTGGACCGATTTTGACAAGACTTTGATTAGCAGACAGCTAAAATTATAAGGAGTAACTGAGACTATTTTTATTTTAGAAACAATAAAAAAGAATTCCTCACAGACGAAATCGTGTGTAACAGCTAGTCTTCAATATAACTTATAAAGTTATATTTGTTTTTAGAGTATTTAATATTGTTTATGAAGGTACTAAACTTATGATGGAGATAACGTGCTCCCTATTCCGATCATAATTACAGAAATTATTACATAAAATCCATTAATTATATACAGTACTGATAGTAATAAATTAGAATATCTTAAGTGTAGATGGAGTTGCCACCTTTAAAATTGTATACTTTAGAATTACTTTACAGAAATTACTAATTACATTAATTAATTTATTAATTGTGTTACAGTTAATAGTAGTTAGCGAAGAAACGTCACGTGGTGCAGTAAAAATAAATGAAAAACGAGCAGAGAACGGCTTGCAACCGTTAGAGACATATGTCATCAAGTTGGCTCAGGACTCCAATCCAGCGCGCTCTCATGAAGAAGAGGAGAAAGTCAGTTCATCCAATCATAGAATGAGGTTGCTTGGAACCTATTTAAAATCACCAGTGGTAAGACTGATACTGTTAACTAACTAAAAACGGCCTTACTGATCTAGCGGTTTACCACACTGCCAAGCATTGTGCGATTATTTTTATGAATTTAAAGAAAAGCATACATTGCTGTTTAATATAATGATAATAATTTTATTTGTAAATTATTTTCGATATGTCATAAGATGTTATTGAACACAAAATTTGCTTATATCAAAATGTTCAAATATTATTAACTATTACCAGTATAGTTGAACTCATATATATATTTAGCATCACCATAATTAAATTAAGTGTTCCTATCAGTATCATATCCATAGATCAGCCTTTACTTAGTTTCATGCTAGATAGCGTTGTATTTTTAGATAACCAGACAATTTATGTTCATAGTAAAAAAAAAGTAAGATAGAAACATAATAATGATTTTTCTCATATATACATTTATAAGAGTTTTTTGTAGAAACTAGCAGTTTCTATAAATAAATCTTATGATGAAATGATTTATAGTAACTCTTGCTAGAATCTTTAAAATAGAAACTTGTTTATTTTGTTCACGGGATGATTTCCAGCATTCTTAAAAACTGTTTTATAAGTTTATGTACTGTTCTCTTATAATACATCTTCTTATTTCAGCCTAACCCTAATATACCTGACTGGCCATACGTAATAGGCTTAGCTGGTGGGATAGCCAGTGGAAAAAGTAATATAGCAGAAAAACTAAAGTAAGTTATTTATAATCTAACTTTACTAACACACACACAACAAACACACGCCCTGCAAGTAAATATTTAAGTTAATATGTATTTTAATTGTCTTTTTGTAATTGAAATAATTGTAAATTGTAAGAGGAGGGACCCTAAACTACAAGTGAGGTTTAGTAAAATTTTGCTTTTTTAACATTTCTGATTAAATATATATATATATATATTATTCTAAATTTGTATTTAAATTTATAGTTCCTTTATTGTGCATTCTTGTTTATATTTCATTGTCTTCACAACAGTTCCTAATATATATTTCCGTGTTCCAAATATTTTTCTGTAGTTTCTTTTTACCTATATACATATAAATAAGTTTGTAATAATCGTTATAAAATATTTACAGAGCCAAAGGAGCAGCTATTATTAATTGCGACACTATTGCGCACGATTTATACAAACCGGGACTGCCTCTTAATAGCACACTGTCGGTGACGTTCAGGAAAGACATAATAACTGATACTGGAGAAGTGGACCGGAGGAAATTGGGCTCAATTGTATTTGGAGATAAGGTATATTTTTCAAATCTAAATAATAATTTAGATGCATGTTGCTTTTGTGTGACTAAAATAGCCACTGTTGATAATTCGTATCATATATCATATGCACCACCGTACACCGCTTTATATTTGTATTCATGGCACAAACATTTGTATTCATGAGTATGATTTTATGTGTCTAAGTTTCCTATGTATTAAATATCTAAATAATTAAATCACTTGTCTAGTACCCATAACACAAGCTCTCCTTAACGTGGGAATAGATGGCGTTGTGTTAATTGTACAGGCTTATTTATTTATTATTTCATGATATTTATACAAAATCAATAGTTTGTTTTACAAAAACTAATTTATGCATGGTTTGTATTAATAGGAACAACTGGAGAAATTAAATACAATCGTGTGGCCAGCAGTCATCGAAGAAGCTCAAAGGCGCGTGAGGATTCTAGGCGAGGATGGACATAGAGTGGTCGTCATGGAGGCGGCCGTGATGGTCCGCGCCAAGTGGTATACGCAATGCCATCAGCTGTGGTCCGTAATTATACCCCCAGAGGAGGTGAGCTCCACACACTATTTAGTACTATCTGTGCCTGCGGTTTCCCCCGCGTAGAATTTCAATCTATAAATTTAAATAAAAAATATAGCCTATATGTTATTCTGATGCATAAGCTATATTACTGTACATGACATCCGTATTCACAAACTTTCGCATTTATTATATTACTAGCTGTGCCCGCGGTTTCACTCGTGTTAATTTTCAATATAAAATATAGCTTATGTGTTATTCTGATGCATAAGCTGATGCTGAAGCAAGATGCTAATTTTACTGCAAAGTTTCATCAAAATCTGTTCAGTAATCTTTGCCTGAAAAAATAACCAAACATCCATACTTATAAACTTTAATTATAATATTATTAAGACAGTTCATACATCAAATAACTTAGTTAAAAAAATACTAGTGATAATATTAATATATTATTACTAGTATTTATACTAATAATAATAGTATTACTTATAAACAACATACATAGTTGGTACAGTTACAGGTTTAGTATAGTGAAAAAAAAAACACTACTATTACATACACACAACATACACATACAACAAAGAACTTGGAAAAAATGTACTATTGTGTGCCAGGTCCATATTGTAACGTACGTATGTACTTACAAAAAAATCTAAGTACTTATATCAGTTGTCTAGTACCCTTAACACAAGCTCTGCTTATCTTGGGACTAGATGGTGTTGTGTGAATTGTCTAGAGGTATTTATTATTATTATTATTTCACAGAATTATGTAGAAATATCAATTTAGTAATAATAATCAGGCCTTGAATTATACTAGACAACTAATATAAATACTTATACATATATATCTATATATATATATGTTTAATTACATACATAATAATATACATAGAAAGCACCTAGACCGATACAAACAATCATACTCATGAATACAATTGTTTGGACCGTTTGAGGAATCGAACCCGCTATTATTAGAAGTAAACAGGTGTAAACCGCAAGAACACCGAGGCCGTCACTATATTTTATTCTCTCCGCCAATTTCCCTCATCACAACAAAATTTCTTCATAGGCTATTAAACGACTGCAAAATCGCAACGGTCTTTCCGAAGAGGAAGCGAAGCAGCGTGTATCTTCACAGCCGTCCAATCAAGAGCAGGTTGCACCCGCGAATATAGTTTTCAGCCCGTACTGGAGCTACGAGTATACACAGTCACAGATTGACCGAGCCTGGGACCTCTTACAGGAGTATCTGCGTAATAGAAAAGTGCAAACGTAGATGGAAGTAATAGTACAATAAGAACATGTTATCGACAATTTAAATAATCTAAATTATTATTATATACAAAACAGCAAGTATGTGATTTTTAGTTTATAACGAACTTGCGACATGTCTCGGCTTCGCACGAACAAATTACAATTTTTTTAATTTTTTTTTACACACTTGTATTATATATATATATAAAACTCCCTCTTTAATCACTCTATCTATATAAAACTGTATTAAAATCCGTTGCGAAATTGAAAATATATAAACGAACAGACAGCGGCGACTTTGTTGTTGACTGTGTAAGGATGAACTAAAACTATTTAAAAAGCTACTTAATTAATAAGAACCACATTTTGGCCTGACTCTAGATAATATATATATATATCACTCACTCACTGATCGATATATTTTTAAATGTCAATTATGTTCATTTTTGCACAAATATTTTATAACTACGTACCGGAATTTAATGAAATTACTATGTTTGCCTCTTTTGCAACAATTGTTCATCTGGAAATGTTTAGAGTGAATACGGGGTGACCGTTACAGCTGCAGCCCGAGAAGTCAACGATGCAGACGAGGGGTGAATGTAAGGGTTGCAACAAAGACAACCTCCACTTCTCGCCTTCCTGTATATGATTATGAAATATTAACAGAAACTATCTGTATTTAACTGACATGTAATAAACGCTATTCCTATTTTTGCAGCTTTCTGGATGGCAAATAATGTTACTTTTCCGTTAAATTCTGTAAATAGATAAATACATTATGTTCTATTTCATAAATAATATTCATAAATTTGTTACTCATTTTGTAAAATTTTGCTCGTTCTAATTGATGTAAAATATACAAGCTGTAGATATACTATAATAAATAAATAATAGTGAATCGAAGCTTTAATGAACAATAACACCTAGAATTAAAATAATTACAGTAAATGTACAAACATAACATAAATATGGTGTTGAGAAGAAACAATTTGTAAATTTATAACTAGTGAGACCACGTAGTATTTAATAGAAACTAGATAGATACGTTTATTATTTATTTAGTTAGGTATACTAACTGCAGAATTATGTATATAATATAATCAGATGGATTTAGACTGAGTGATCGAATAATTATTCAATTTTTTTTTGTGCAAGGCGCGATACCCCCCTTGCCTAGGTTACATCAAAGATATGTTTAGCATATAAAGTAGGTACATAAATATATTTATAATAATGAACTCTACAAATGGTAGTTACATAAAACAGGAATTCATTGACGTACCTATGTCTATAAGTATCAAGGAAAGGTTATGCAAATGTGCTATATTTACCATAGCGTATCAACTTATCATTATTAAGAAACAAAAAAAATGTGAAAATATATCTTATGCTTTATGGTCCTTTAGTCTAAATCAGTGATACCCAAAGTGGTTTATATCGACCCCCAGGGGTCTATGACAAATTGCAAGGGGTCTACGCCAGCGGTCATCTTGTTGTTTTTACTTTATGTTTTTGACACTAAACTTTACTACAGTTAGAAATTTACAAAAAATCAATACCAGGCAAGAATGGGGGTCTACCCAAAACCGAAAAATACGGCAACGACACAAAAAAGGAACCTCTGATCTAAATCCACCTTTCGAATTTTATATTTTATAATAGACTAATAATTCTGTTAATTGTAATTGTAAAAATTGTTATCGCTCCAGTTATCCAAATTATATTAGTGTATAATTCATATATCCAACAGCTCGATCAGAAATCGATTTAATTGCAGGGTTACGCATTTCAAACTATTGTTAGTTTTATTAGAAAGTTAATAAAAATAAATTAAATACATTTTTTTATTTTAATTCCTAAATCCTTTTATTATTATTGTTAGTTTGTGATACATAATATATAAGGCGTGCTGTATACAGTTGTCTAATTATTGTATTAGTATAATTACCAAAATTTCGGCAACACACGTGTTAACAACGTTAGTGTTATTTGAAACTGAGAATATTTATTCATAATATAATTTTTGTCTCTTACATATTATACTATAAGTAGAGATGGTATGATACAATTATGAAGTTAACAATGACTTCATATCTAGTATTACAGTAGGTAATGAAGGTATATTATATTGTTAGGATTATAATTACAATATTTTTCATTATATTGTTTACAATATACATTATTCGGAAGGTTTCAATCGCTTTGAAGAAGACCTACTTAGAAGTTACTATTTTTATCATTACTGTTTATTTGTTTCTTTAATTCATTCCTTTTGCAGTATTTTATGTATCTACGCGTTATGTTTGACAATGCTCTACGTATTAAAAGAGAATATATACTCTTCATATAGCTAATTTATGTATTGTATATGTTTACTTAATTTTTGGTAAGTTTAAAATTGCTGCATGAATGTGTTGCTGGACACAACTCCTTCGGACTGCAATTGAAAATCAGTGATTTGACCTTTCATGTTCTTTCATTCTATGGTTAATATACATAACATATTCGTTTATGGTTATCTATTTAGATTTATAATTCAATGTATATTGTGTTTTTATAACATTCTTATACGTATAGTATGCTACATTTATTCATGTCGCATGAATAAAGATATCATTTATCTAAATATCTTAAAATGTACCTAGGTGTAGTTATTAAAATTAAAAAAAAAAGTATTAGGACAATATTTAGTGTCTAACTCGTATCTAAACTTCTACCTTTACAATTGTTTTTATTCAATAATAATATAATTTTTATGTCTGAAAAAGGTCGATGCTATTGGTTTCACAACCGATGCCATGCCACCCCATACACTTTGAACATATATTCAGAATTGACAAATACCGAGGTACTTGGCGTACTCTAGAACTGATTTATGAATATTACATATACCTATATTTTCAATTACATTAAGAATATATATCTCATAACATCGCTAGAATATTTCATAATAATATTTACCAAATTGATCTGATAAGTACCTAATGATCTCCAATAAGCTAATGTACATATGTGATTGGATTGAGTGAATAGATATGATTCTAAACCTACATGATTATGCTATAGTACAGATTGTCAAGTGTGAATTGATGTTTAGTTTAAATAGGCATACCCTCATTATTAGGCTGCATTCTTTTACTTAAAAATAATATAAAAAATATATTTATATAGCGAGTATATAATATGACTGCCTCGAAGGTCTAGCGGTTTAGCACACAGCCTTAATAATGGTCTCATGTTTTATTCCCGCACATCATTGTCTATTTCTTCCTTATCCCAGTTATTTGGGGCTGCATAATAGGTATGTTTTTCTCTTCCTTTAATCCCTATTCACAATGAACTCGTTATTTACTTCCTTTCCTACCATATCATCTTTCACACGTCCATCATCTCTTTTTCGGCCTTTCTTTGCCCTTATAACCATCCTCACTCATATGTAACACCTTCAAAACCTTTAAAATATTTCCTTCGCATTACATGCCCATCATTTATTCCCGCACATCCCTATCGAAATCGAATTCTTTAGATTCTTTAACATTAAGAAGTCAAGTGTAATACATAGGGGGAAGTGGGGCAGATTGGGACAAGGGGCACATTGATACACGTGTATTATTTCGTAAACGATTAAATTTATTCGAGTAGTGACAACTCTGAAACACGTCTTTAAACTTCTGAACGCGATCGTTGTGATTACGCTAACAGCCAGTCAACCGGTGGCTTTTAGCAGGAGAGAAAATGTTTCGAGCGCGGGTAACTAAAAAAATACGTGAGATTTAAAAGTGTTTTTACGATCTGCTGAGCCATCTTGTGATGATCAATGTATCCCAAAGGTAATTTAGGGCATCAAATATTAAGGACTTTGCACGTGTTTTACAATAATTAACTTAGTATCTTTAGTGAAACCTGCTTTTTATAAAAATTATTTTTGGGGAAGTTTGATACAGGAAAGTACGGGGCACAATGATACGTATCAATGTTCCCCGTGACTTCAATAAAGTGTTAATTTTGTAAAAAAATTGTATTGTATTTTCAGAAAATGGTGCGAACATATAAACCAAATACTGAAAGACGTAGTACAGGTGAAGACTCGATCAAGTGGGCCGTATCTAAAGTTATTTCAACGAGATTATCCATACGGAAAGCAGATGACAAATATCTAACTGGAACTCTACAAAATATTAACTCTACAAGATATTCTGAAGTATTAGTTTTGTTAAGAAACAAGTGTTTTTTTTTTTGTTAAAATGTAAAACTGATTGTAAATTAATTATTTCACAATAAATGTATTATTTTACATGAAAGTGTTATTATTTAAACCAGATTCATACAATTTCCACTCTGTATCAAAGTGCCTCAATGCGTGTATCAAAGTGCCCCGTAGGTGGGGCAGAATGATGCAAAACTGTTATTTTACTGAAATCAATATATCGTTATATCTAATATAATTAAGCGGGTATTTCGTACCAAAACATAAACCTGAATTGTTGACCAATGCACACGGCAAAAAAAAAGTTGAAATGTGATGTTTTTAGTATATTAAATGTGCATCAATCTGCCCCACTTCCCCCAAAACAGTAGTTATATTTTGTAAATGACAAAATCTGTGATGGAAGCATTTTGCAAACTGCAATTTTTTTTAACCTGTTTCCGAGTAAAGTGTATATATATATACATGTAGGTATGTAGTTATTTACTCATAAACTTGGTTCTTTCCTTATATCCTACGGAATCCTGAAACTATTGAATACATAGTCAAATGTATTTATATCAACGAGGTTTCGTTATTATGAAACAGACATAACCGTTGCTTTAAACTGTTGGTTGCATAGTCGGTAACATATTTTGATGAATCGACTTCTGTTCAACAAAATGTCTAAATATTGTAAACTATTTATTATACTCATTTTTCCAAATCTTGTTCTTGGAAATATAAAGTTGATTGATATAAATAAGGAAGAGGAGAGAACAAAATTTCTGGTGAGATCCTTGTGTTGTTTATGTGTTAGCATTTTTGTATATTTTTAAATCTTGTTAAAATAACTATTTTAATTTTCAGGTCGAACTTATTATATTGGCTAATGAAAATAATGACAGAGACAATTTTGTTTTCTTTGGTAACTTATCAGACAATCTCTTTAAAAGTGTTGAAGGTATTGTACCATTCACTTTTATAGTTATGGACTTGACTCAGACCAGTTATGACATACCTATATACGTGCCATATAAACCAAATACAGTAATAATAAAATGTTTGGATTTCAATTATTTTGAACTTAGTTTTCTAAAGTTATACTCATCGCCATATTGGTACCCACATTCTAACTTAATTTTATATTTAGAAAACGACACTACCAAAAACGAAATAGCAATGATTTATTTCATTCTTTGGCACTATAGAGTATCTAACGCAATTATATTGCACTATAAACAATCAACAGAAATGTTTGTTGTATCTTACTATAATCCATATGTTAATAGTAATTACAGTCTACAAAATAATTACGGTTGTTGGACAGCGAAAAAAATTGGTTTACCTATAAAAGAATTTAGGAAAAGTTTTGTTTGCGTAAATGAATGCCACAATGTTACACAGCATTCGAAGCTTCGTGCGAATAATCTCGGTACTTGCATTGGTTTCGATGTACACGAAGTTCCATACAACGGTAAAAAGTCTTTAAATAAATTAAACTTGTATGAAGATAAAGGAAAAAACCTCCATGGTTACGCACTCAGAGCTTATGGTACTGAAGTGAAACCATTCATGATTATGGAAGATACTGGTAATGGGATATATTCGCTAAAATCCCGTGATGGATTGGTATGGACGACATTATCACACATTCTGAACTTTACAATAGATTTCACTCCAAGTTTACCCACCATAAAAAAACAATTTAATTACGAATTAAACATTCAACAGATATATTCATTAGGTCAAAGGAAAGGAGAGTTGTTTCTTTTGCCTATATATCAAATGGACCTGATCATTGTTGAAATAGACACTACGTTTCCTTACAAGGAAAGCGGGCTTTGCATAGCTTCTTACCGTGCCGACTTCGAGACTAATCTTTTCGATATCACACTCGTGATTAAAAACTACGATCTTACAATAGAATTCACTTTCTGCTTTATAAGTATTTGGTGTGTATTCTTTTTATTTAATGCCGTAGAGAAAGGTGGTGTTAGTTTCGATCAGGCAGGTAAGGACTTAGTTAATGCTTTTAGAACAATTTTGTCTATTAGCCTCTACAAAGGTCCAAAAAGCAATTTATTTCGAATTTTCATGACCACCTCCATTTGGAGTTTTTTCATTTTAAACTTTAACACACAAGCAGCTATTATATCGTTTTTTAGTTCATTTAAGAGGGGGAAAGAAGTGAGCACATTCGACGATGTTCTTGATAAAGGTTATAATATATACGGCATGGCGTCTCCGGACGCTGTGCTTCCAGAAACCGAGGAAAAATTTATTAAGTTAAATCAGAAACTGGTTGCGATTCAAGACATAGTCGAATGTATAACTAATATAATAAATGACACTCACCGTTTCTGCCTTGTCGATTGTGCACTGGGCCGTTATTACAAACGAAATAAGTTAAACAACGACGGGGAGCAATATTTGCACATCATTGATGACAGGATTCACAGTCATTATTTGAATGTTATATTACCTAAATATTCCACAATGACTAACCACTTTAACAAGTATATTATTTGGCTATTTGAAGCAGGCTTGATAAAGAAATGGGAGGAATACAGATACGAAGAAATTAAAGATGAAAATCAGATTAAACCACTAAAACTGGACGATTTGCTTGGAATATTTAAATGTTACGGTTTGTTTTTGGTCTTGAGTGCTTTTGTTTTTTTTTTAGAGGTGATTATGGGTACATTGCGGAAAATAATACTATTTTTTAAAGCTAAAATTGTGAGTAAATAACGTATTAGTTGTATAATAAAGATACTTACATATTCGATGGTATTTTAATTATTTATGGGGAACTCCCCATAAACATACAGCATTTTACGAACTGTATTAAGTTACAACTATTTTCTCAGCGCAAGTTAGTTACTCGGTTTTTCATAGCACCCTGTGCCTGCAACCTGACCGAACCAACCTGCAACGAGCCTGCGGCTCATTTGATGGTAAATGATTACCGCTGTCCATGAGCACTCGCAACAACAGGAGTAATGCAAGTGCGTTGCCGACTTTTTAAAAACTCTTCATTAAGTATCAATATCGTCTCAGTTCAGAAATACCATAGCTGGAAGGTGATTCCACAACGTGGTTGTACGGGGCATAAAGTTTCTAGAAAACCGCACTGTGGAGGACCACCATTAATCCAGATTATCTGGATACATAGGTACATCACATTTTATATTATGAGATTTACAACACACATTGTGTTTAAACAACCCACGTACCATAGTGGTAGGTATGTAAGGAGTTTATATAAATTATGTGTATTGTTTGACCCGGAACATAAAGCCTCTCACATTATAATTATCTTATGTAATTTTTTTTCGCTGATCCTTATCAGCCGTCATGTCTACTCTGTTTTTAAGCATATCGTCTTCCATACTGTTCCATATAGTCTCAATGTTATATATCATAGATTCTAAGGTAACCGTAATGCTTCTACTTCCGTTGCCTACAACTAACAGTCATGTTTATCTATATATTCAATGGTTTTATAAAACAATAAGGCATGGTCATGAATACAGTTTTGTATTGTGGGAATCATCACGATTAATCTGTTATCATGTTTTATCACGGCAGGGTGCTGTTAATTGCCGTTAAACCACCAATGTGGTATGAAGTATATAATTACCAGTAGATATATGTAATATCTACAATATTTAAGTATTATTAGTAGACATCTAAGCGTGTACAAATAGATATATACTGAAATTTTGTATATAGAGAGAAAACCAAAGGCCAAACCAAATTAAAGCTCCAATAAATTGACTAATAATATTATACTTTACTATACTAATTAAAATTTTGTGATATATAAAAATTACTAACAGAATTATCTCTCTATATTAGTTAATTGAAATTAGGTAATTTTCTATCATGTCAATTTATTAGTATTAATTTAAAGGAGACAGATTCCTTTATCATTCAGTTTCATTATAGAGTTGGTTAATATACATTAAAAATATATAAAAATAGCCTTTTCTGCATTAGACATAAAGTTTAATTCCTTTCAACATGATCTAACAAAAGCATATTCCACTTATATACGGTAATAAATGGCAATCGTTAACATTTTGTCTATGGTGGGCTGTCAATTCTCTTACAAATATTGACTATTTCGACTCACTAAGTGATGAACGCAACTTTGTCTGTTTGAATAGAAAATAATAGAAATAGTATAATATTAAAATAATTCTGCGGTAAAACCGAGGTAAAATGATAAAATAATTTCATAGTAAATATCTCTGACCAAGAACTAGCAACATTAATTCATGAAACAAACCTTCTTAAAAAATATAATTTGTCTATGACTGCATGTATTGTTTGTGGTTTACAAAATGGTCTTATATTTTTATTTAATAATCAAAATATAATAATATCGATATGAAAAGTACATAATATTTTAATTTAATGGGTAATTCGCACAACAAAAGCAATAACTATAGAAATTTTAAACAATCTTCGACCTCGGATCGCGATAGGCAAGCGTACAATAGTCAGGTAAATGCGATAAATGATGATACAAAATCTTCTGTCATCCCCAGCTGAACTCACGTAATAAATATTTTCATACGCACATAATAAACTCGAGGGTCTTTCTTTGATATGTTTTATGTTTATATTTATATTCATTTTAACAAAGTGGCTGAGTAAAGTAACAGATTTCTAAACTTCTAAACAATATTTTGACATTTCTTTGTTACCAAAATGAGCAAATTTTTTTTGTGTACAGTTCAGTTTGTCCCATTTCGTCGGTAACCTCAGCGGACGTTCATACCAAAGCGTTACCAGCAACCAGTCGGTATACAGCGCATCGCGACCTTGGTCTCGGGTCTCCAGAAGAAGGTAAGATTAACTTATTTCAATATATTTATTTTTATACACATAATATCCCTTTTTAGTCTATTTATATTTACATTACCACTGTTCCTAGTATGAAAAAAATACCACATGTTAATATTTTTTTAATATCTTGCACTGCATACAGTAAACTCCTGTAATGTTTTGCAACAGCCATGATCACAGAAAAATTGAAGAGTATTAGGTACATGAGCATATATTTCGTATATCTCTATTTTTTCAATATTTATTTGTTATTGTATTTTTAATGTCCTTATTTTAAAGACAAATAATTTTAATACAACTTGTTTATATGATGTGTTTATTATTTCAATTAAATAAAGTAGTTATTATTAAATATTAAATGCCCCTAAAATAAGGCAATATGGAATAACAATAAAAATATTTTTTTTTAATATTATAGTAATTTCTGGGAACTGCTAATTAGGTTACAGGCTTATCATATATAACATGATGACTGTTACATAAATTCTGTTAATAACCACACTAGGGACGTCCACATACATATAACCTGGTTACTGTCCAATTTTATTTTATGTAACTACTTAGTAGAAAATAGCTTTCTAAAGTAAGTAAGCCTACTGGAAAGTGACAAAAATTGTTTATATACTTGAACATTGCATTGTCTTATGACATCTATAATAATCCAGTATATATCCTCCAGTGTATATCCTGAAGATTAAGGTTGATGATGGTAATGAGTGAGACAGAGGTACTCATGCATACATCTCAGCTCTGCACTGCCTTAGTAAAATTATACTGTCTTGTCATATATTGACTCTTCAGAACAAGTAAAATATATTAGTTGTCTACAAACACCATGCATAAAAATCGGCTTTAATGTATGGCTATATATTTTAAGTTTTTTCTCTTGCATGAGTCTAATGGTTTTTGTTCACATCACTGACTTTTACAGTATCTATTAGATATAAGAAGGTTATATTATTTATTTACTAAATAAAGTTCTCATAATATTTCTACATGATGTATATATTTCAACTGTCACACCAGTCCTGTCACTGTCTGGTCACAAAGGCCTCCAGCGATTTCCGTCTCTGTCTTTCTCAAGCAAGTTTCAGCCACTGTGAATTTTTGATATTATCAAACCACCTTATGCGGGGTTCATTCTTCCTTATTTAATTCCACTCTGTAATCCATCGGGTCTCCCGGAAACCTCTGAATTTGATACAAAAAATGTAACAAACCAGTCCATGATTTTAATGTAAGCATAAATATAATAAGGATAGCAATAATGTTGTAGGTGGAATGAAACAACACTAAAAAATCCACTAGAAGCAAGTAAAACTGCCTGGCCAGTTGCTCACAAAGAATCCATCTTCCTGCCTGAATTCCCCATCACCACAGACTTACTGCAGCGAGACTATATAATAGAAGAAACTATAGCTAAAGGTGCATTTGGCCAAGTGTATAGAGTGAAGAAAGTGAGCGAAGATAAAGATTATGCTTTAAAAGTTCTTAGTAAGGCACAGGTAATAATCATTACACTAAACAATTACTTTGATGACGAGTGTGCATGGTATCACGGAATTTTCATTTAATGGTAGACATAGACACCTATATAAGCAAAAAATGTAAATAAATGGCTTTAAAGAAAAAGAAATTCAGTTGAGTTTCTTGCCAGAATCAAATGAATCTGTGTACTCAACTGGATGGGAGGAAAAAATTATAATACAAAACTTTTGACATTCATAAAAGCTTAAATGTTCTATAAGAATAAATTATTTTTTATTTGCCTGGATTTTAATATGTACATACTTATTATACTAATTAATGGGAAAGTGTTTGTCAGTCTGTTTATTATCTTTTCATGAATAGATTTTATGACATCATGCACATAGACTTAGGCTATGGATATTTTCAACATATTATGAGAAAAAAAATCTCAGAATACTCAAAGGCATCACAGCTAGTTTTATAAATTAAAAATAATTTGCATTTTATATTTTTGCCATCGAAATGATAATCTTACAGTTGCATTATAGTTAGTTTTAATATTGTGTCTACTCCTTAATGCAAATTTGTGAAAAGGGAATTGTTTTATGTCTTCATAACTTCAGTTACCTTCAATAACATCAATACTTGATCCTTGTCACAATAATACACTATTAAGGTTGAGTTCAGTAATGTTTAGAAATTGCATTAGAGTTATTATGACAAATATTAGTATATATTTTCGATGACAAGTCAATGAAGTATTTAATGTATTAGGCTATATACCTGATATATATATTCATTATATATATGGTACACTGTACACCCAGCCCTGGTCTCCAGATTATTAATCTAAAAAAATAATTTAGTAAGTCTAGTTTTGAATTAAAGCAATACTGTGGTAACCTAGTTTAGATGTCAGTGTCTTTGAATACTGATTTTGATAAATTTGATTTACTCTGTTTACTAGATATAAACGACAGCAGTGCGTAGTTAGCAGAGAGATAGTTGAAGGTGTCGATGAATCATCCTAGAATTGATTGATAAATGATTGCTCATTTGAGTTTTCCTTTATGGAAATTGTTGAAAAAAGATAAGACCTTTTTATGCAGTTACACTATGCTCAAATAAGACTAAAAAATATTGAAGTAAATCATTTTATGTCTACAATAAACGGTTTATTGAACCTGTTCAGTTATTCTTGCCCAGGTTGACATTATCAAACCTATAGTTCTTGTGTACTTTATCAGTTATTCCACGCTTATCTCGCTGACCTATATTCCTAATTTATTATTAATTCCAAAGAGAGACTTATGTTCAATTGATAAGCACTCACAATTGTTTGGCATTTGCATATTTTCAATATTGGTATAGTTAATAATATAGGTAGGTATAACTAAAAGTAAATTTGCACTTGTGTAAATTATGTATTCAATTAGTGCTCTATGAAATATGCTCGGCTATATGTGGGTAGGTCTAGTGCTACGGCGATCTCAATGCCAACAGTCGATAATGAAACCTCTGACTTCCCCGTTTTGGTATAATGGTAGTGAGTATATTTTGTTATTAACAGATTAATCAAAACACTACCAATATGTAGTATGGTATGCGTGGAGACTTATTGGCTAAAATGTAATTATGTAATCACTAGAAGCTATTTTAATAAATGCATAGTAAACAATAAACCTGAATGCATCAATTTATTGTACATCTATCATTATCACATACCATAGTCTTGCAAATGGTACCAGCCACTCGATTCTCTCAAACTCATATAAAAAAATATTCTGAAATCCCTTATCTATTTATGTAGTTTGACTTTGATGGTTATTAATGAAGACTAAAATATTTCAGATTGTAAATCAAAACGCTATACGCCAAGTGAAAGAAGAAGCCCGAATCCAAACGGCTTGTGGACACCATTCTTTTATAGCAGGGGCCGTATCCAGGTGGCAGACAAAGAAAAGACTTTATATCGGTAAATATAAATTTCTATATAGTTTAATAAATTTTATAAATAGTAATACTGGATCTTCTCGCATGAGTGTATTCTGTTAAACCGTAGTTCTGTTCATATCTATATTTTTTCAATATCCTCGGACTGCTAGGTTTCTTACCATTACAGTTGAAGGAAAATGTCCTATATACAGACGTGTCTACTTTTATATTTCGCAGTACCTCTCTTATTATCTTTCACTTTTGTCTTTTCAAAATAAATAGTAATCAGGAACAGCTATGCATTAAGGGCAACACGAACGTTACGTCGTCTCATGATTTTGGTGGTACTATCATGTATAAAAGCAATGGTTGACAGTTACCAGCAGATAGGATAGTGGATGTTTATTATTAAAATTTAAAAATATTAATCATACTACATATATTTTAAAAAACACTATAGATACATAATTCTAAACAAGATTTTACTTTTTAAAAATTAAACCAGTTTATGAATACTAATAGATTATGTATTAGTTCTTAAGTCCTTACGAACTCCTTTATCTGGTATTTGCAAGTCTGGTGACAGTCATTTAGGCGACAAACTGTTATATTTACTCTAATTAAATAGTTGTTATAGGTCCTATAATATAGGATGTCATGGCCGTTAACTCAAATAAAGGAGTTCATTGCGCATCATTTAATCCTCATTTACACGGATGGTCGTTTACAATGACCTTCCATCGTTTGTTAGCAAGAGTTTATTGTATAATCTTGAGACAATAATGAACTTTATTTCGTTACAATAAAGGTCGGTTATGTTATAGTGTCTTTATCTAATTTTGCCACGAAATTTATATAAGCTAACTATGTAAGTATTTACTCAAAATTTGAATTTCTATTACTGTATTTTGTTAAGTACTACTAAAGATATGTCTTTAGTTACCTTTATGTTATTGTTAATCGTTCATTGCCTTTGATTATGAAATGTATTTTTATTTCATCTTTTCAAATAATTATGTTATTCCCCTTATAAATGACTATCTATAAATTACTACATGTAACTCACAACTTTTTCAGATATTTTAGGATAACTTATGTCTATGTTCGAGCTTATCAGTCTTCGCTTTAAGTTTAAGTTAAGGCAGCAGACAGACGGACACGTTTATAATATTAGTAAGAATAATAACCACCTATAAAATATGATATTATCATAACAACATTTGATTTTTGATTAAGATCTGACCAATTTTGAAATTATCCTTAATAATGTGGTTGAAGTCTGTATTCTCGTGGCCTTAATACGGTATCGTTTCATGGCAAATTCAACTTTTAGCAGTTTGTATTGGATTAGCAAGTTGTGTGGTATTTTAAGTGTTTATTAATTTATTTAAAAACAAGTTTTTTGTTTCACTCCTTACAATTGATGGCCATTAATAATTTTCGAATAGCAACTTAAGCGTGGATATTAGCTACCTTTTGTTAAGTTTGACAATAATTACGAATTAAAAAAAAAAGCTTCTTTGTTCACTTTAATGTACATAATACAAAATGTAGTAAATAGTACATTTGGCGGACTTAAAAACATGTGGTATCACTTATAAATCGTAGCTAAATACGCTCTATCACGTCAGCTGTCAAACAAAAAAAAAATGCATCATAATCGATCCGGATTCGGAGCCATCCCTCTTTTTGCTTCTGGGGTTTAATATACCTACGACAATATGGTCATGGATGGTTTATACATTAATGTTGTAACCTTTCTGTATTATTGTTACTAGTGGTCGCCTGGTGGTCGAAATTTCATCATAATTAATTTCAATTATAAGTTTGAATATTATTAAAGTTCGATTGTCAAAGACTATATCTACTTCTATAATCACAGGCACTGGTAGTCGTACGGGCAATAAACAAAAGAGTATATATAATTATATATGCGTGTCAAGTACGTGGTACTATATCTAATGGTTTTTTTTTATTGATTTAAAGTATTTTTATGCATAATTATTAAAAAATAGTATTCTGCACTCCTTCTCTATATAAACTATAAAATGTGTAAAATTTCATAGTCCTCGCTCCCCGCAATTTTCGCAAAAAGGGGTACAAAGTTTTTGTTTCACGTATTACTATATATTGTAGATAATTTATTTTCAAGATAAAGTTCAATGTGTACGTGCATAATCAATGGACAATTTTAATGATAAGAAATCATTAGTTAGTATAGGTTAGGATTATGTTATCGCGTGTCGCCTATGCGTCCACTAGACTGCGAGGTCGCCAGTAGTCGTCACCGTTGTGCCATCTAATTTTAATATGACTTTTCTCAATGTCGGTTAATTATGTCACTCATTGTTGCTAGGGATTTGTTATTTAAGTATATTGAAATTATAGGGACTATCTCGGTAGTCTAGTGGTTCAGCACGCCGCTTTACTTACGATGGTTGCGCGTTGGATTCTAGCACAATTCAAATATTTGTCTTCATTTACGATTTGTATTGGTCTGAGGGTTTTCTTTGTATATTATGAATGTATTTGCAAAAAAGTTGTTTAAGTATTTTATAAATTGTTTATTATCCACAAACAAACTCTGCTTAGTTTAACCAAAAAGTTATGTTTATGCTAAACAGAATTATGTTTCGTGGGCGATTAGATAAATGCATAAGAATTTTTAAAGGGCTTTCAAAGGGATGACACCAGTTCAAGATGAAAAGATGAGTATGGAATCAGATCACTAAATTCATCTTGTCGTACTAACAAAAAATTTACCACGATGGTATTCAGAGAGATTGAGTGGATGAATAGAAAGTATATAACCGTTTCTCGTCTGTAGTCGATGTCCTCTGTTATAGGATAATGGACTTTCGTGTAAATACCTTCCAACCTAAAGAAGAGCCGTCCAGAACCAATTTATAAAAAAGAAGTCATTTCTAAAGGCCCAACCTTGAATCGAAACCGATCTCTTATATATATATATATATATATATATATGTATAGTGCTACAAAATTGTATTAGAATGGTAGCATACAATTTTTCACTGCATGTAAATTGATATTTACTTGGGTACTAGGAAGAATTCATAGGTGACCGAAGTGGCAACCGCTGTTAAAGGTCAATTTACACAAAACGGAATGTTTGATTTTTTTTATGAAAAATGAAATGAGTTTAGTGACACGAAATTTCAAAATTATCATAATGTACACATGTAGTGGTATGTCTTATAGAAAAGAATGCAGATAATTTGGTAGCACATACTAATATTATATATATTGGTGGTACATACTAATATTATAAACACAATAGTGTTCTGTCTGTCTCTTTCTTACATTTTCAAGACTGTACGGATTTTAATCAAATTGGACATCATGTTCTCAATGGTATTATGACTATGCTAACTATCTCTATAGAAGTTAGCATAGGCATAAGAAGGTGGTGTAAATGTATGTAGACAAAGTCGCAGGTAACAGTTAGCCCTATAAAGCAAAGTGCCTACCGTAAAACTTTTTATGACGTCAACATGCCCCGATCAAGGCTGATCCAAATCGATTAAGTAGAGATCCGTGAAAACGTAACGGAGATAGATTTATAATAGCTTCTACATCGCTTATGTTTTGACACGCAACAAATAACGTAAGAAAGTTATTTTTACCTTTGGGAAAGTGACAAGATGGAACTAGCGATCCTCCCCGGCTTCGTACGTTCTTCAATTATTGTCTCTCTGCGTTTTATTAAAAACTAACTGACCCGTGAAACATCTGCGTCACATATTCCAAGTTTTTGGAACATTATTTATAGCAGGTCCGCTCTATTCGTCATAGTGTAATAAGCTATTACCTATAGCCTTCTTCGATAAACGGGTAATCCGAGAACTTAGTCTGTATCACATTTATCATTATATTTCGCCCAATTTACAAAAATATCTTTTTAATTTATAGCCTATATGTTATTCTGGTATATAAACTATATAACTATAAAGTTTCATTAAAATCTATTCCGTAGTTTTTGCGTGAAAGAGTAACAAACATCCATACGCACAATTTTTTGCCTTTATAATATTAGCAGGGTTAAACTATAATATTAATATAGATAAATTACAGCCCGTATAACTCTTGTTTATCATTGTTTATAATGTATATTTCTTTTAGGCAATGTAATAAATAAACTGAAGTTTTTTTCTCTTTTTTTTTTGTATAATTAAAAAGGCAAACAAGCTGATGTAAGCCCACTCGATTGTGAGTGGTAAACATCGAGTATGTATATAAACAGCAATACAGTGCAGTGGGTGAACCTACCACTGTGTCGTGAATTAGTTGGTAGTTTATTATCAGTACGTCCTCTAAGGGATTCATCTTGAAACCATCGTGATTAATTCCTGCCTAATTCGCCACAAGGGACAAATTGACCTAAATTCGGTACTCTACTATACTGTTCCCTGAGCCTAGTGTGTAGACTTGTTGTGAAAAAATTGCAAATAATGACAATAAAGTTTATTTATTGTCATTATTTGCAATAGTAAATAAAAAAAAAAACAACTAGATCTTACCATGTTTTATTTATTTATATTCAGTTCCCAATAACAGTTTAATCGTGATCATGGCTGTTGAAACTCTGCTGAAATATCGGGAAAGTATTCTAACCCTGTAAAATAATAACCGCGTAAAATTTAAAGATTATATGAATATATATAAATAGAAGTACAATTCAGCATTACTTTAATAATATTATCATGGTAAATATCCCGTTTGTATAAATCTAAATAACTGTGAAAAAAGTTTAAAACAAGTATTATATTTTTTCCAGAATTCTAGAGCAAATACAAAACTAGTGAGATCACTAATTCTTTATCGTCTATCAATAAATGAACTTGGAAATCAAAATACGTAGCGTGGTAATCGCTTTGTAATTTAGTAGATAAGACGTCACATACATTTATTCGAGCATTGTGGTAATACTATTAGCATGTACGTCAATAGTTGTGTGTATTTATTTGTGGGGATACCCTTTAAAAGATACCGTTGACAATGATAATATATTTGAATTCTGGTCTCACTTCTGATCACTTTATAATAACATATCTGGGTGGTCTAGAATTGTATTGTTCATTATCTCTATGTATTGATATGTGAGGCAAGAACTTTGTTGCCCTACCCGCCGGAGTATGAAATTTCACATACTTATAGTTTTTATAGAGAATTTTTATACAGAATGACAATTTGTTTTTTTTAATTATGCATAAAAATATATTAATTCAGTAAAAAAACATTACACACTCTTCCATGTATTTGACATATACACTCTTTTGTTTATTGTTAGTCTGTGGTCAAATTGAGAACAGATAAATATTGTTCGACTTTAATATTATTTATCTATAGCCTATTTGAATGTTAAATTAATTATGGAATTTCGACCACAGGGCGACCACTAGTATATTGTTATTTTATAACAAACAATTTATCTTGATGTATAAAAGAACTATGACGAGGCGAAATTTGTTTTTGTATTTGTTTGTCACTTGAAAGCGGTTGGAAGATTAAAATGAATTTTTTATAGAATGAGTTGTTTAATATCGGTTATAGAAAGCTGAGGAATACAGATGAAATAATGAATTCATTAGTTTGAACACATCACCTGTTACTCTGTTAATTAGTTTATTTATAAATTCATAGTTGATGTTTCCAAAACTACACGAGCAGTAAGTAATATTCAGTGGCCGTAGAATAATTTTATCACGATATTTCACATTTTTCTGTCTAGTGTCAAGCTAAGCCAAGCTTGTATTATGGGTACCAGACAACTAATAGGAATACTTAAATATTTTTTTTATCAATCAAACAAATATCAATAATGTTAGTTGTTACTTTAATTAGCGTTTCATGTATTATTGCCATTATATATACATTACAAATGTAATTAATTTTTGAACATTAAATTCAGATTTGTGGTTCGATCGCCAAATTAAATGACTATAATTACATTATTTGAGTAGCTATATGTATGGCAAAAATCACAAATTTTATATTCATATAAGGTTAGTTGTAAAGCCGAAAGTCGGGTACATTACTCATTTTTAAGTGAATGATACTATAATGTATAGTAAGGTTTTTTTAATATTTAATGAGTAAAAAGTGCACCCAAATCAGTCGAGCTCTTTCTAAGATTAGCGCGCACAAGCGCAAACACAAAGAGCCAAAAATTGTTACGAGGTTTTATTACCCTGGTAAAGTTCACCTATAATAGTTTTTCTAATATATCTTCCATGTACAGACAGGGCTCAGATAATATAATATATATGTAATTATATTAAATCTTCTGTTTTTCAGTTTCAGAGTACATTCCTGGTGGTGAATTATTAGCTTTGCTAGATAAATACGGGAAGATACCCGAGGAGCTAGTAAAGATATTCGTCGCCGAGATCGCTATCGCTTTAGGTAAGACAATGTTCATTGTTAAGTTTAAAAATATGTTTGATCAATTTCGGTATAAATATTTGTAATTGAATTCGATATTAAAACCATCAAGAAAAGAGCTTATTCCTGAAAACAGTAACGCACTTGCAATTTCCCTGGTGTTGCGGATGCTCATAGGCGGTAATCACTTACAATCAGTTGTGCCGGAAGTTTGTTTGTCTCCTGTGCTATATAAAAAAAAATTGAGAATAATGGTTTTGTATAACCTTTATATTAAGTACATTTGTATGTTTACGTTGTTTAGATCTAAGCAACGTAAGCATGGATTACGTCATTCCAATTGCAAACAGAGACATTTTTTATATCTTAATATCTATTATTAAATTGCACCGCTTTACTAACTCTGATCAGCGTGACTGGTAGAGTCAAACAATAAGTTCGCCATGTATATATACAATTTTATGTGCAAAGGAAGAAATAAACCCCCTCCTCCCCCAGCCGAACGATTTAATAAATAAATTTCGTGTTTTAATACTAAACTGAACGTTGATATCAATGTACTAATGACGTAATGACTCCAATCTCTAACTCCAGCTTCATGATATGTAGTAATGACTCCAATCTCCAACTCCAGCTTCATCTGATTGATCACAAAACCTGTCAGCGTAATTTTCTCTATGTATGTTTACATGTATATCTCATTTTTTTTAGTATATTCTTTGTGCTGCTTCTTACAGCTGTTTACATTAACTTGAGCAATCAAATTATGAAATACTAGATTTTATAATATGATTGCACAAGTTAATGTAAACGGCTATTTCAAAGCTTATTTTAACATAGTTATGACTCACAATGAAATATATTGTGATTCATAACGGTTACACGATTTAATAGAGTTAATATTATTATTTTATTTAATAGAGTTATTTGCGCAAAGTTTTTATCCGTCTATGACCATGGTTATACTCGTTGCCGTAGGATTGAGTACAATGCAAGTATCTATCGACACTTTTTTTTTTAATAATTTGTGATTAGAATAGACATACGTACCAGTGTTGAATATTTTTTTAGTTAAACATTAAATAGCTGACAGTCCACCTGATTGCAAGTGGAAACATTCGCCTATATACATGAACAGCATTGCGGACATGATGACACCCATGATGATACCTATCATGCGTGTTCATTCCAGATGACTAATATGTCATGCTGGGGGTTAGGGATTGTTAGTAATGAGGATAGTGGCCGACCTGATATGGTATATTGCTAGTAATATACCATGTCAGGTCGACCTCAACGCGGTCCCCCCTGGAAACCATAGTGGTCGTCAATTTCTAGTAAATTCGCCAGAACGGGCTAACTGACCTGACTTTACGCTTATCCTATCATACTTTACTGGTGCCAGCATATACCATTAGCTCAGGCAGATGCGCATGTTGTTTCACTTTCTTATCGTCTTACAGTTTAATAATTTGCAAAGTAAGCTTTTTAGGTGGATCTAAGGTACCCATGCAGACAACGTTTTAAAGTCTATCTGACTATATATTTATATGTATCCTACGCAATAAAATACGTCACAAACGTCACAATATTTACTTACCTCATTATATTAATGACAAGTGATTTAAACTACGTATATGCGCGTTCAAGCATTGCATCACCTGATTATTTGTATCGATTTTACCATTTATATGAAATGACATTTCCTATACGGCATTTATTAGATGCTATAGTCGTCATAATAATTTAAATGATTTTAAAACCTCGTAAAACATACTACGAATTTTTTTACATATACACATTATTACGGTTTTACACGTGTAAATTATTGAAGATGTCTCTTATTTTTTTTAATGATAATATTTATTTAGATACAGTTATGAATGTGTGCAGCTCGTTTATTAATTTCAAAGTCAATTATTTCAAAGTCGCTTGCGATGGTAGACTCGCCCTCTGCCACGTTGAATTGAAATGTACCCAACGACATGTGAGTACGTCAATTGTTATGTTCAGAGTATGGTTGTCTATTGACAATGCTTTCGACCACCCTGTAAGGGATATTAGTCATGACGGTGTGTATTTACAGGCATAAAATGGCTGGTGTCTAATGATATGATAAATAATGATGATTTGTAATTAAAGGATGCAAACTGCGAGTCATTGTATTGTATACATAAATAATTGTAAACAAGAAAGAATACAATCTTGTTTTACTCGCTTGATACGGTGCATAAATTTATGAATATTATTTTTGAGGGGAAAAATAGAAGTGTCAATACACAGTTATATCAAACAAAATAAAGACAAAATTGGAGTCATATCAACTCCTAAAGAGGATAATAGCAAATCGTACAAATCATCATTATTTTAGCCATCTTATTATCTCTTGCTTATCTCTGTTGTATTACTGTATATAAAAAAAATCAATAGGTAACTAATATTGAAAGGTCATAATATGGTTTTTATAGACTACGAAAATATAAATATATTTATGAAGTCTATGGTTTTTTTAATAAGTGTTTTGTCAGTTTCGGTATAAGTGGCTGGTAATCTCCTGTGCGTAAAATGTATATATACTATGTTTGGTTGAACGCGCTAATTTCAGAAAACAATGGTTGGAATTGAAATATTCTTTTAGTGTTGTAGAGCTCATTTATAGATGAATGCTATAGGCTATATAATATCACACTATGAACAAAAAAGGGCGGATCAGCTAGTCAGTATGTAAATTTTTTTCATATTATTATTTCGTTTTCTTTTGTCAACAGATTTTCTTCACAACGCTGGTGTTATATATAGAGATTTGAAACCGGAAAATATTCTGCTTGACTCTGACTACCACGTTCAACTGATCGACTTCGGACTCTCCAAGTGGTTGTCTATAGGATCGCGAACTACCACACTCTGCGGCACTCTAAAGTATATGGGTGAGTTTAGTACATTTTGTTTTAGTTTAAACAAAACACCACAGAATCATTCAATAAACTCATCAATCTCGTAGAACTTTTAAACAACTTATACATGCCTCGCTGCTTAGTCCAATCTGACACCCCCGATTCCCTGTCTCTATTACTGAGGATCGAAATTACAATGGCTCGAGCAGAGGTTCGACGCACCTCCTAGCATTGCCATCAGTCTAAAGCACTATCGATCAGAATGGATTTGGCCTTTATCCATTCTGATTGCTTTCTGCACTCAAAAAAGACAGCCTAAACGATTTTGATTAAAATTTGCATTGTCTTCTAGTCCCTATTCGTTAGTAAAACGTTCATGTTAAGTTATTAACAACACTCAGAATTTTTTTTTGCCGGTGTACTTAGAATGTACATATTGGAATATTACAAACCTAGTTTTTCATTTTTAACAATTAGTTTTGTCGTACTATTTTATCTCCCTCCCTAAAATATATCGTACTGTCCCACTTTGATATAATTTAATTCTAGAATTACATTAAACTACGCTTTGTAAGGAAAATATGAACTATTTCTTACACAACTAAATATAACTTGCTTCCGTTAGAATTACAAACATCATAAGACTAGCTTCTTTTCTTTTATTTTCAAAAATATTTCTTGAAGTGTTATATCCCGGTAAGGTATCTGTGAATTCTAACTTCTGAAGACTTTTGTTGTGGGAGGTTATTATTGCGCAATTGACTAGCAAACGCAGAGTTCATTTTTGTACTTGTTTTTGTTGATACATTCCCAAACGGCGTACTATAATTAAAACGGTCATTTTCCATTTCAGCGTGGGACTTGATCCGTTACCTATTTTAAGTGTGAAATGGCTCAGTTCATCGCTCACTCCGTCTGTGTATCGCATGTGAAAGGCTTCGGGTGCGCGTAACCGGGTGATCTTGGAGTGATTATGTCAGTAGTGGCAGGGGAAGTGCGCGCGACGGGCCAGTGACCCCGGCACCATGAACGCCCGCACGATAGCCTTCGAGTTGTCGATGGAGGGCCGCCAGGTCGACGAGGTGGTCGCTAGCATCTTCCACACGGTCCTCTTCCACCGCTCGAGCGGCAAATTCACCTACAACAGCGAGGAGAGCTACTCCATACGTACGGTCAGCTACGTCGACGTGGACTGCGATTTCATTGACTTCACATACGTGTGCTGCGAATCGGACGTCCTGGGGCGAAACGTGAAGCGAGAGATAACTGAGTTCTCGGAACTCCTTCGGGGAGCCGACGCGACGTCGTCTCCACCTAGGGGGTCCATCAGTCTCGAGTTCTTCCAGAAACGTCGCACCCGATGGCCTTTCCAGCCCGAATGCGTGCCGTGGGAGATCTGGACCGTATATTGTGAGCTTACGGAATCGCGCAGCGAGCACGAGATGCACAGCCAGCACGAGAGCGTCGTAGAAATGCTGCAAGATAAAATAGTGTTCATTACGGAGATAATTAATAGACACGAGTACGTGCCTAAGATGCCGAGTCGCTCGGATGCTGATCTCATCTTCGATACTACGTATGCAGATATACAGCCGTATCTTTTCAAAATTCATTATAACTTGTCAGGCGCACCGCCCGTATCTGTCGGGAACACAGTCCGCAAACTCATACGTGATACATTATCTTTGTGATGCATATTGTCCTTCTATTGTCTGTTGTAATTTTATGATGGAACCTACATTATAAACATGACTAACACAATAAAATGCTTTGTGGGTTTCGGTAAATTAAAATTTAAAAATATCTGTGACGATTACCAATTTGGAGCCTATTTCGTAAGGTGACAATAGCATAATTTCACAAATATTTGTAGTTTGTCAGTAAAATTGTCAGTAATTATATGCGACAATAAATAAAAATTTTTTACATTTTATGGATAATTACGTGGAATAGCTTTACTATGGATTTAACTGAAAAATATTTAATATATTTTATTATTCATTACAATTTGTTACTGTGTGGCACATGTGTTTGTTTTATAATATTATTATGATTGTCATAAAAACTTGTGTGAAAGAGATGAATGCAAGCAGTGTGTTATGCATATTAATCAATAAGACGATATAGGACCCTCAATTGATATATATGAACTAAGTCCATCTAGACAGATGACGTTGACTTCACGGTCATCAAATTTTATTTTACTATTATACTACAGACAATATTTTAAAATTATTATATTTTTGTAAATAATTACGTAGGAATATTAACAATTGTTTGTTGTGATTAATAATATAGCTAGTTTTAATTATATATGATTTTTTTTATACAAAATGCAATATTTCCTACATCCTAATCTTAGTTGCAATTGTGTTGTTTGTACTTATAAATGCTTTGTTAATTGCACAAAATGTTTATGCATGAGGATTTATGCTTTAGCATTTTAAGATCGATGTCCTACAATTCACTCAACTCCAGCTTTATTTAACACCCTAACGACTGCTAGTTGTAACTTGCGTATTTGTTGACGATTGTACTTTTTAAATAACATACAATTTTCGCCTATTGTAATATTAGTCATTATAGTTTAGTTGTAATAGTTTCGGAGCTATGACTCAGATGGCTGGTTGATGTGTCCACTCTTATATGATTTATTTAGGATTCAAGTTCGTCTGTTGTTTGCGTACTCTTAAGTTAAAATAAATGCGAACTTAGACAGGGTTAAGGTTTTACGATACGTATTGCGTAGGTAAGTTTTAGGCTATAAATTAGTTACCTAATGGATGTTCCCGTATTTAGTTGTATTGAGTACATAGCTAGAGTTATTTTAATGTGTCTGTCACCGTAGCGTTTCAACGTTTTTTTTTATTACGTAGGTGGCACGAATATTTATGTAATATGACGTAACGTTTATATTGTTGTATTGATCGCTGTAGACGTATCTACGGAACAATATCCGCGACAGACGAATTAAATCGAGTGGTATTTCCGTATATCTACTCATTGTAAATATCATAGAATAGTTTTGACTATATAGTGTTTTTTATATATTAATATAATCGCTTTGTGATATTGCTGGCGAAAATTTAAAAGTGTAAAGAATATATATTGAATCATGATTTTATTATATAGACGTAGAATTATATGAGCCATTAATTAAACATGGTAGGAATGTAACGACTTAGTTATACTTTGAATTGTGTATAAAAATAATGTACAGTATATAATTAGATGTTTTTCTCATATTTTAATTGATAATAATTCGAATAATGCAAGTGATTGGATTATTGAGAGCTTTATCGAACTAAATATTGTGCTAGTATGGTATAGTTTGTTAGTGAGATCGTTCTACACAGCATAGGTATGTGTAATGTAATATTTGTTAGACTAGCGATGGATGGTGCATGGACAGTATCGTATATTATAAGTTACCTCATAATAGTAAACATGTGCCCTAATTGTGGTGCGTGGAGCGATTGATACGTTAACAATGAAACCGAACCTTAAGGAGTTATTATTAGGTTTAGTTTTACTTGGAATTACGAATTGCAATCGTACGCACACGAATTCGGCACATTGAAGTTGTTATTCGTGTTCACATACGCGGTGTGTTTTTTACCGCATTCTACTACAGTATTTGTCGCTCATTGGTCTGCTGCAACCATCTGTTAACCTTGAAATTGTATATTTATATATAAAAATACCCAATTTTTATATTCTGCAGTCGCAGTCTTTACTATGTCGGACTGCGTGCGACTTCTACAGTCATTATCTAAAGTCGGTAGGTAGGAATTATTCTGAAGCGTCATTGTCTGAACTTATATCTAAAACTAAAATTTTAATTTGATAGTGATAGTAAAAGTATTATTATAAGAATCACGACGATCTAAATTTAAAATAGTTTTAATTAAAACTATAATAAATCTAGTCAAATTTAAAGTGATAGTTTTAGACACAAGTTTAGAGAATTAGTCCTATTGTATCAAAGATGTAGTTTCTCATTGATAAATAATGGTTGAAACGCTTTTATGTTACTATTTAAGGACGTTAAAACGAGTCCATCCATTATTAAATGCTTATTATTTACTATCCTACCTCAGTTTGTGACTATAGCTTTAGGAATTTGCATCTTGATCGGAAGTTAGATAGACTCATTAAATGTATCTTATGCACAGAATAGAAAAATAATAAAAAGGTTTTTACATTTTTAAAACATAGTTGCCTGTGTAAAAGAGAGAACAAGTTTTACTAAACATTTTAACGAATCAAAATGTCACTTCGATCAGAATGACATTGTTTTTTATTATAATATCATTAGACACAATTTATATAATACTATATTTCTTGGCGTTAACGATGAATTTAATATGCACTATTTAAATTTACTCGCTGGTATTGCTGTTAGGGTAAAATTTATAGGATACGTTTTTGTAATTTAAAGTTGCTATTTTTACACGGCTCCAATCTATTTTAATAATATGCATCGTTCGTAAAAATGTACTAATGATATATCGCTTCATTAAAATTTCTTATGACGATGTTACAGAAGTATTTCATATTAGTACTTTAGTTTTTTCTATTCTGTGTTGTGTCCGATTTTGGAATTATTACCTAATATAAATATTTCGGTAATATCTTATTAGTTTCCAAGTCATTCACTACTTTGTACCTATATTAAAGGATTCCGTAGACGGTCAAAGTGCATATTTTGTATGACAGAGATAGAACAACTTTCTAGTAGCGTCTCTGTCTTACATGCGTCGAGAATTGTTTTTAGTAAATTCACTTGACCATCTACCTAACCTTTAAAAATGTATTTCGTCACCAAAGATGAGGCTGTTCTCAGGCCTTTATATCTAATGCGACTCTATATTATGTCCACTGTTTGCATATTGTTACTGTTTATTTATATACATTCGTAATTTCCATATCATCAAGTACCTAAATATATTGTTTTAAAAATATTTACACAAATCCGGTGAAGAGACAATATATGTATTTAATTCTATTCTACCTTCATTGTGTGCCTGTTTCTCGGAGTGCGGAGATTTGCACAGTGTAAAAATATATTATTATTATATAATATATAACCGCACACAACATGCTATGGCCTTATTTGTCAGATGGTTTAAGATATTGTCGTGAAGCATGGACGGCTGTTATATTAGAGTTTATAATGAGACAGAATGTATATGTTGTGATGTATAAGTTCAAAAATTCTGAAAAAAATTTAGTCTTGTGATAATTTATATGAATAATATGTGAATAAATGATGAAGTATTACTTTGATTGTTTTATTTGAATAAAATAGTAAAGTATGGACTCAGATGATAAAAACAATTCAAAATATAATTGCAAAAAAAACCAATGCCAATCAGATAGCTTTATTAATTCTTTATTGTGATCTGTCCTTATTAGAGTCCTATACGTGGTCGGCATACATATTAAGCACTGCTATTATATTTGTCTAAAAATAAAATTATAAAGATTTAGCCTTTATTGTTAAAATATTATGTATAAGTGGCCGAAAGTCTCTCTATGATTAAATAATGAAAAAAAAAAACTCAAATTGAATTAAGACCTAGGAGTAAAATTATTTTATCAAATTTATTTTTAAGAAACTATATTGCGAAATATAGTAACGTTACAGTTAATATAATAATAACCCTGGACCATTTAGTCCTAAGCAGACTTGTTTTATGGTACTAGAAAAGTGAATGAATATATAACATAACTCTCGGACCAATATAAACGATCACACTCACCGATATAAATATTGCACCTCACCTTGCGAGGAATCGAACCCTTCAACACCAAGCCTTAATTAAAAGCATAATTAATGGTATTTACATATATATAGTTTTTTTTTATTAAATATCTTTGACTACAATATTATTTAAATCTACATTGTATTTCTTACTGTTTTTAGCAATCCATTACCTCTTAGCGGTTTTATTACAATTTCTTTTTTAAATAAATCATAATTACATTCAAAGAACCTTTAAATAAATCATGCGAAATAATTAATTGTTATGCTGTTATGTTTATTGCTGTTTAATTACCTACAGAGAAATTTAATTACATACGAAATAAGTCATAAAAATATACGCAAAAATTGCAAAGTGAAACGTACTGGTGCATTAATTAAAATCTTAAATTTCAACTATAATCTTTGTAGGTAATATTAGTAAATACATATATTAAATTAATATAAATAAAATAAATATGTATTAAATAATGGTAGGTAGGCAAATTATTTATGTGTTACTGTTGTACTACGTATTAAAAAAGTCCTTTTGAACTGCTATTAATAAATATATCTATACTTCTAATGTCTGATACGTTTAATTTAATAAGTAGTGAAAAGTTGTGAAGAGGATTTCGTGTGCTACACGACATCAAGATGTTCCTTCCATCGATAAGTAAATATTACAATTTTTATTATTTAATTTATAATATTTCATATACCAAGTATGAATGGAGGAATGCTAGGTGCGTAGAGCACATGAAGTTTGAATGCTTGGATTTCAAAATTAATGCATTTTTTATAATAAAATTATAAATAAATATACAGATTTGAAATTATTCATTTGTCTTTTTTTGTTTGTCGCTAGCTCCAGAGGTGCTGGGCCGGGAGCCATATGGGCATGCTGTAGATTGGTGGTCCTTGGGAGTTATCATATGCCGCATGCTCATTAATGAGGTAAGTGGAATAAATAATTGCAACCTTATGTAAATATAATGAAAAGTTAACATGACTTAATTGTATAATTATTATAAGTTTTCATAAATCCTAGTCTGCTGAAGAAAGCGGCAACTGTTGCCTATGTACATTAACAGAATCACGTCCACTATAGTCTGTTTTTTAATCCCTGATACTAAATTGACAGGTGGAAATGTGAAATGATCAATTAATGTTACCAGTTCTAGCGGGGTAGTGTCTGCGATACCGATTTTAGTTTAGTTTAGTTTAATTTTACATTTTTAATGTAGAATATCAGTTTTAAAGCTTTATACTTACATACATAGTTTCCAGAACATATATCCAGAAGTTACGTGTTTGCATTACTTTCGTTGTACTATACAAAAATATATTTTAATGATTTTCGTATATTTAGTCATTTTTACAATTTGAAGCTACAAACAATTTTTTTCTTTCAAACAGCTATATATTTTAAATAGGTATATATTTTATAAAATATGACACCTCATAAAGGTCATTTGTTTTATGAAAAAGACAGTAAGTCTTTGTTTTAATAAAATATACCTGTGTCAATTAAAAAAACTATTTTCTTACAACAACGCTATATTTAATAATACTTATACTTTAGTAATTTTGTGTTAATGCGTTTTAAATAAAGGCCCAAACATTATTTCTGACTAACCCATCAAAATGGGTAATTAATATTAATTTATTTTTAGTTTCTAGTGGCCGATAGTGTCACATCTCTATTTAAAAATTGCAAATAGCTGGCAACATAGGTAATGTCAAATTAGTCTCCGGGATTAAAAAACAAACTATACGTCGTGTTAAGTGATGCTATTGATATATGTCATGCGTTGCCATTCTTGAGGACTAAGATGCCACTCATGTGTTGTTACCTCATGCTGCTTGGAGTGGCAGTTTTGATCACAATGACCAATTTAGTATGTTAATCCGGCCGGTGGTTTAATGGTTTAGCACACCACTTTACTTCCGATGGTCGCGGTTTGCTAGCACGGTACAAACATTTGTATTCAATACTATGATTGTTTGTATCAGTCTGGGTGTTTTCTATGTATATTATGAATTTATTTGCACCTATGTATTTCCGTAAGTTGTCTAGCACAATACATTCTCTGCTTAAGATGGGACTAGATGGCATTGTGTTAATTGTTCAAAAATATTGGATTGTAATTTTGTACTATTAATATTTTATTCATGAGAACTGGTGCAATAGCACAGACTACCAAATATGATAGTTTGTATTCACATGAAGTCATAAAAATTGAACACTATTTATTTAATATAGCAGAAGGTAATATTTACTTTTCTTACTTTAATCTGCAGTAAGAATCAACGATTGAGTAAAAAAAAGAAAGCTTATACTAAGTTTATTAGAATATATACTATTTCCTGTGAACCTTGTAATTTGGACCTAAAAATAACCTACCTTTCTTTTCCAATGATGTGTGCATGAATAAAATTTCTAAATGTAACTCTGTTTACATTATATTAAAGTAGATTACCTGCGTGTCTGACGAACAAAATAATTTTAGTTTTCATGTCAATTTGCTCGCATCATTTCGGCAGGCATAGTATAGTATTCTGAATTTGGTTATTGTCAACCTTGTTTTTGATGATTAATTAGGAGTAGATATTATGAGCACTTTTTTTATGTTATCTAGTTCTGTTTTTTTTTTTTTGTCTAAATAAGTGTTTTTTGTTTGGAATAAATATTATGGAATGAATTATGGATTCTACAGCCGGAGGTTGTAAAAAAAATCCAACCTTTTTCTTAACTTAAATTTATTAATATAAAATAATAATTACAATGCTTATAGTTCGATGTTAGAACAGAATATGATTGATTTATATAATTCTATAAAAATGAAATGTAACTATAGGCATGACGCGATATGGCGTGATGCTCATTGCTGATCAAGCATTTGGTGCCGCGTGCAATGTTTATTGGGGACAGTGCAAATGCAGCAGTCCTTCTATACTAGGCTTGCGTAACACCTCCCCTCGTAGAACAGCGACTATTGAAGACGTTTGTCGTAAATTGAGCTGGGGGTTGCTCTGGGTTAACTCTCCTTGTTTCAGGAACAGTGTAGATTCCTTCCATTTCCATATGGTTGACTAGATGGGCTTGCCTGGTGTTGAAGTATTTTATGCGGAATTTATAATATGTAATGCCACAGGCAAGTACGCAAGCACTTACTAGTATTGCATACATCGGTATAGTCGTATGATATATACCGCTGTTATTTTCTGTCTGCAGTGTCAATGGAGGTGCTATTGACATTTTCATATTTGTTTCATGCAGGTGATCCAGTTTGATCGAATTCAGTTTGAATGCGGGTTTCAGGGTTGCTCTCTCTGATGATATAGTAGTATCCATGTTAGGTAAGTCTATGATCTTCAATGCTTGACCTTTGAGGCGGTCCTTAGTGTTAACAATTGTGAAGTCCGGCGATTCCAAGTAACAATTACGTGGAATTACAGCAAGATAGCTACCCTGTAAGGTTTTGTAAAGATCTCGTCCGCAGGATAAATGTATTTTCGTTGGAGTTGGAAAACTCACACCGTAGTGCCTATCGTCGAGTTTCTCGTAAGCTGATTTTGTTAGTGAAACAGTGATGGGGTTGCATGTGCGGTCCCGCTGCTGCGTGGTGATGAGCCTCTGGATACAGTCCTGGGGTGATTGATTCTGCATATTGCTGGGTGCGCCGCATAAGTACCATCTGCTCGTCTTCGGACATTCTGTCTCTATGTATTTAAAATCTTTCTCATGAAGAACAAGGAACGGATGAGGTGGTGATAAGATCTCGTGGTGATTATTGGGTATTATACATAATTTATACATATCATACGTAAAGGGATAGATGATGGGGACTTTATATACTATAACTATTTTATTATCTATATAATATGAACCTAACTTAATTATATCATATATTTCTCTAGTATCTAAATCTATTACTACTTTATCTGTACCATATATAGTAGTTAAGTTATTAATCATAGTGCGCATTGTATACGAATCTAAAACAGAATGGTGCATAGTAGAAGTTTTTATAAAAGCTATTATAGTTTCTAATTTTAAAAGTTCCTGAGATATGTAATCGACGTTATCGCTTACTATATCTATAATTTGAGATAAATGGGCATATTTTACTAAATCATAGTCTCGTGTGGCTTCGCTTTCTTTTATCTTACCTACTAAAATGTCTATCTTATTCTGATTTGTTACTATATTACTTATGATTTTAGAATACTGAGCAGTCCAATCTTTAGATAAACTAACATGTGCATTAAATTCAGATACTATTTTATTTTCATTATCTTGGAGAGATTTTATTACCTCGTTATAGTGCAATGCGTCTGTATAGTCTAGATTACCTGTTATGCTTTTTACTATTGATCCCAGGCCGTCTACGAGTCCTCTGCGTTTTCGGTTAATTTCAAAGGTTTTAAGATGATTTAATACGTTGCTAAGCTTAATTTTTAAGTAATTCATGTGAGGTTCAAATAAAGAATTGGTACGGTTATGGAGTTCGGGAGCAATGATAGTTAACTAACGATCAATAGAATTAATAGTTTCATGCATTTCTGTAAAATCAATATACTGAACAAAAGAGTGATAATGAGATATTATCTTAGCAGGTCCGAGTTTGAACGGTAAGATACCCGGTCCCTCGTTAAGGCTTTCGAGCAATATTTCTTGCATTAGTGCTCTGTTCAGGCACAGAATGATGATCAGGAGCGTCCTGAAACAATTGGGCGCTTTTAGGGACTTTTTTTTAATCTAGATTTAGCTACAGGATCACGTTTTTTCTTAGTATAAATATGTATAGGAAGGTCTGCCATTACAACGTCTTGTGTGTAACGGGGCACTAACTTTTGTCGGGAAGCAAGAGGATTTTTTACAAAAATCTGTTGTTCTGGTGAATACTGAAGTTCAGTTTCATGATCCTTATTATGATTTTCAGTAATATTTTGACGGGATGAATTACAGAGTTCGTGAACTGAATTATATACTAATTTCATTTTATCTATATGATTATTTATATATTGCTGTAATAAATGAGTTGAGAGATCTATATCAAATGGATCTCGAGGATCAAAATGGCCAGTTATAATTTCAATCGGTTTACACTTTGTAAAACTATGTATACTACTATTGTAAGCCAGAAGGGCATACGGCATAAGATTTATTACCGATTCAGATTTATTATCTATTTTTAATATACGAAGGTGCTCTAGAATAGTTGAATGGAATCTTTCTACGATACCATTCTCATTCGGTGTATGAGGAGCTATTCTGTGGTGTTGAATTTTATGAACCCTGACGAATTCTGATATAAGTTGGTTGGTGAATTCCGGTCCATTATCAGTAACTATGGTTAGAGGTACGCCATGATGTGTACAAAAGTTTAACAACCCTTGCACGACACTGATGGCTGTGCCATCCCTTAAGTGGTAAGCTTGCGCATACTTAGAAAAAGCATTTACTATAGTTAGAAATTTCTCACTCTGTATAGTTAATAAATCTAAATGAACTAATTCTAATGGTCTTGTGCCTGGTGGAACAATTCTGAACTGTTGTTTGATGGGATTGCGGTCATATTTTGCTTGACCACAAACTGTGCATTCGTTAATAAATTTAGTAATCTGTTCACGCATTTTCGGCCAATAATACTTATGAGATAGAGCTAAATGACATTCGTTAATGCCACGGTGATTCGTCTTTCCATCATGGTACTTATTAATGATCTCCTGTTGCCTCAGATATTCTCTTACATTTTCGACTTCTTTTTTTTGTTAATAAAATATTCATAGATGAATTTTTAAATGTTTTTTTTTATAATAGGTACTATAGTGTACATATCTAGAAATGGATTTATAAGTAAACCTGTCTTAATTTTTGGATGAACATATTCTTTTATAGCATTAATGATGTCTTCTTCGAGATTAGATTTAGATATTTGTATTGATATACGTGTATGAGTATCGAAAGGTTTTGTTAAAATCGGTCTGCCTTTAATATCGCCTACGATGTTTAGAATTAACTGTTTCGTGAATTTATTTAATGGTTCGTCTGTTATGGGTATTTCTAAAATTGGATTTTCGTTGTCAGTATGCACAGTAATAGTATTAGAATTACTTGTAGCATCCGCGACGGTTAATGTTCTTGATTCGTCTACGGTTGGTGCATTTTCAGAGGGATTAACTATAATAGACATAAGTTCGTCATTATGCACTTCAATTCGTGAAAGCGCATCGGCGTTTGTATTCTGTTTACCTTGTTTGTAAACTACTGTAAAATCGTACTCACTCAATTTTAATCGCCATCTGGTAAGACGTGAATTGGGCTCTTTGAGACTCATAACCCACTGGAGTGGTTTATGATCCGTTATAATTTTGAATTTCCTGCCAAACAAGTATGGTCTAAAATACTTTGTTGCCCAAACTATAGCTAAAAGTTCTTTCTCAATAGTGCTATAATTAAGCTCGCTAGAATTGAGTGTTCTGGACGCATATGCAATAGGTTTGTCAGAACCTATTTGTCCTTGAGATAATACTGCACCGATAGCGACGTTAGATGCGTCGGTTGTTAACAAAAACTCTTTATCAAAATTTGGATATTGTAAAATAGGATCATTAGTTAATAGTTTCTTACAATGATTAAAACAGTTAATATAAGTCTGATCTAATGTTATTTTTGAACCCTTTTTTAGACATTGAGTTAACGGTTTAGTGAGGCGTGCGAAATCTGGTATGAATTTTCTATAATATCCTAGAAGGCCAAGAAAACGTTTGATTTCAGTTGTAGTTTTAGGTAAGGGGTAATTCTCAATAGCGTGGATTTTATTAGGGTTAGGCTTCACTCCTTCACTACATATAACATGTCCTAAAAACTCAGTCTCTAATTTTAAAAATTCAGACTTATCCATTTGTATCTTAAAGTTGGATTCTCTTAATTTAGTGAATACTTTTTCTAAATTTAGGATATGTTCCTGTAGTGAGGTACTGTATACTATTATGTCATCTAAATATACGAGACATATGTCATTTTGAAGGTCTTTCAACAAGTTATCCATAACTCGTTGAAAAGTTGATGGTGAATTTTTAAGACCCATTGGCATTCTTAAAAATTCGTAATGACCGTTCTCTACATTAAAAGCAGTTTTGTGAATATCCTCTGAACTCATTTCTACCTGATAGAATCCACTAGCTAAATCCAAAGTAGTGAAGTACTGACACCTTCCAAGTTTGTCTAAAACATCTGTTATATTAGGTATGGGGTATTTGTCATCAATCGTTTTCTCATTAACCTTTCTAAAGTCAACGACAAGACGCCACTTGACTTTCCCTGATGCATCCGCCTTTTTGGGTACTATCCAAATCGGTGAACACCATGCAGAGTCAGATGGTCTTATGATATTTTGTTCAAGCATCTTATGAATTTGGTCTCTAACCTCTTGTCGATGAACATATGGATATCTATAACTTTTTGTGTGTACTGGAACTTCATCTGTAGTTTTTATCTTATGTTTGATCTTGTTGGTGAATGTAAGTGGTTCGCCCTCAAGATAAAACACATCAGCATAGTTTGCACATAATTGTTGTAAATTAATTCTTTCTTCCTCATTTAAGTGATCTATACGGAGGCGAGATAATACGTCTTTAGCACGATCAGATACAGTTTCAGTATTTTCACATTCATGGTTAAATATTTCAGCTTCAATTGGTCGATCCATTGAGAAGACAATATCATTACGCGTAGTGTTACTTAACTCGACCCAAGCTCTATTATTAACTACTTTTGTTACGCAATCGGAAATTAAACAGTTACAAATAATTTGATTTTCAATTAGTACATCGCCATCCTTGGTATTTACTGGTAATCTAACTAATTTTGAAGAGTTTGCTGGTATAATCTCTTCATAGAGATTTACGTTACGTGAATCATACATCTGTATAGGTATCTGCGTATTACGAGTGATTAGTAATTTATTTTTTAAATCAATGTTTGAATCCCATTTGTCAAGCAAATCAAAGCCTAATAATCCATCGAAATAATGGTGAAATTTGTATATAAAAAATTTTATATTATCATTTTCGTTAAATTCTGGGAAACAAGGCAAATTAATAGAGTAATCATTTTTACTGGTAGCATGTACATTTGTTACTTCAAATGGTTCGTAATTAAGAGGAATGTGACTGAAATACTTTTGTACAGCTTCTGGACTGATGAAAGATTGATTTGCTCCCGTATCAATTAAAAATTTAAGAGGTGGATTACTAATCTGAATATACCCTAATTGTCTTTGTATATGGAAATTTAACTCTATTTTGGTTTTTCTGATGTTATAGCTTCCTGAAAATTTGAATTGTCCTGCACATTTGATGCTTGTTCAACCTCTTCCACTACCGGCATATCGGTATTGAAATCTTGTTCGGTGTTAAAGTAATAATCATTATATTGGTCGTAATTATAACAGTTTTCATATTCGTATTCCGGATAATAATAAATGTCACTATAATTATCGGTATATGCGGGATAAAATTCGTTGAAGTTCGCTTCGCGTGTTTTAAAATAGTTACTAGGCGGCGGGTTCCCGAATTTTCGCCAGTCATGTCCATAAGGAGGTAAAACTTTAGGGACATACGTGCTAACACCACTCATTGGGCGCGGCGAGTTGTTAAAATTAAACTGTTGAGGCGGCTGCCTGTTAGGAAGACGGAAGACGTTACTTTGAGGGTTATAGTTTGGTGGGGGTGCGCGCATAATTTGTTGAGTACGAGTGGGACCTCGTGGTGGTAATCCGTGTGGTGGTACATTATGTTTCCACCCTTGGTTTGGTTGCGGTTGAGTTGTAGATTGCCGTGTATTGAAACCCTGTTGTCTAGACGGTCCAGGCATATTGAAAGGAATGGATTTCGGTATAAAGTTATTTAGGGGTAAATTATGCGAATTATGAGCTTGTTGCCAATCCTTTTTTTGTACGGTATTTTCATAGCGCTGTTGCATATATAAGGTATTGAGCTCCTCTTGAACAAATTCAAGGGCTCTTTCTATGGTTTCAGGGCGCATACAGCGTATCCTGTAACCCAAGGGGTCTTTTAAACCACGTAAGTACGCTTGAAGAGTAAGCTTTTTATAAAGCGCTCGTTTAGCCTCTATAGTTGTTTGAATTGATTCGTGAAGTGATATGTATGTCATTAAGGTGCTGTATAAATTTTGACAACGCTCGTAGAATTCCTGGGGGGTGCTAGAACCTTGCGTCTGTACAGATAAGTCACTGTATAAAGCTGTTTCATCACGATGATCGGCGAAATTATTGATTAATGCACTCCTAATACCCTGCCAATTTTCTGGTAACCCGTTAGAATTAATAAGTCTAGCAGCTTGTCCCGAAATCTTATTTAAAATTCCGTTAATTAACGCTAAATTAGCTAGTTCATTGCCCGGTTCAGTATTACAGTGTGTTAAAACTAACTGGTCACAAATATTAATAAATCTTGTTAAAATATGTGGATTGCCGTCGAATTCCGGTACTAACCTAAGGGACTTATATATGGTATCGATGTCGCTGCTATTCATTTCTATATGTAAATTTCTATGTTGGTCTAAAATATTAATTCTACTATTACTTGACTTACTACTACCTATCCTAATATTCCGTGATTCTCTAGGATGAAAAATCTTGGATACTTAAAATTACACACATAAAATAATATTAAAATATATTAAAGTATGGGAAGTAAGGACTGAGAAAGATTCTAAGTACTTACTGCATATTACTCGAACGTAGAGCAGGTACAGGCGGATCTTGATACACTTTCGAATTTTTGAATAACTCCACTGTAGAAATCCCGTAGAATTCGAATACACAAATATATATATATATATATTTTTATGAGTATCCTACCGACTGCGCCAATTATGGATTCTACAGCCGGAGGTTGTAAAAAAAATCCAACCTTTTTCTTAACTTAAATTTATTAATATAAAATAATAATTACAATGCTTATAGTTCGATGTTAGAACAGAATATGATTGATTTATATAATTCTATAAAAATGAAATGTAACTATAGGCATGACGCGATATGGCGTGATGCTCATTGCTGATCAAGCATTTGGTGCCGCGTGCAATGTTTATTGGGGACAGTGCAAATGCAGCAGTCCTTCTATACTAGGCTTGCGTAACAAATGATGGGACTGACGTACCAAAAATAGACTAAAATCCCTAAATTAATAAAAAAAATGTCTTGTTTTATAATAGACATGTATATTATATAATACATACTGTTATAATATTAGTATATTTAATAGGAGTATATACATTAGTATACTAAATACTAAATTTATACAAAAATTTTATATCGTTGTATATTGTTTGAACTATGTGTTGTAACTGTTACATGGTGTACTGACGGCACATTTGGCTTATAATAGTTATCTGTAATATCCTACATTGCCTTTTGATTTGATCATTGAAAGTTATATATTATTGAACCGGTAGCGTCCCTAAGTTTACCGCTACATAAAAATAAAATGTATATAGAGTCTAGACTCAACGTGTTTATGCCACGATAAAAACTACTTCACTCATTAATTATTTATATATATACATTGACAACTAATAATTCCCAGACGCAACTACTACTGCTTCTACCTGCAGATTAATTTCATATAATAATATAATCGACGGCCACGGTGGTATAACGGTTTAGCAAACCGCCTTACTTCCGATAGTGTAGCTTTCGATTCCTCGCACGGTACAAACATATATAATTCTTGGTATGATTGTTTGTATCGGTCTGGGTGTTTACTATGTATATTATGTATTTCCAAAAAAAAGTATGTATTTATATCCATAGTTTAGGACTAAATGACGATGTGTGAATCGTCCACAAAATTATTATATTATTATTTATGTTTGAAAATCATGTACATTTATCACACATTAAAACGAATGAAAGTGTTTCCATAATGGTAATGAATGTGAAAATTAAAAACCAAATTATTACAAAACATATTTTATTACTTATAGTACCTACCGGAAATTCGATAATTTAATTTCTGAAATAATAATTACAACGCAGGTAATTTTCGATTCGGCTATTTAAATAAGTCTCTAGGTCTTCTAGTGAACAGTCGGATATATTCACGTGAACGCAACAGCGCGACTGTCTACAGTCGCCACTCACACTCACTTGAGCCACACATCACATTACACGCAGGTTGGCGCAAGATAGCAGGTGGCCTGCTACAGGCGGGGGGCGCGTGTCGAGGGACGTCGACACACGCCCGCCGCTTTGCGCTACTCTTCTAAATTATTTTATTGTTTTTCAGAGCTCTCTTCAGACGAATTCGAACTAGCTCCGTCCTTCTTTTCACCACTTTCGTTGCTTTCCTCGGAGCTATCTTTGGTATCCTTCACTTCTTCAGGTTTAGCCGCAGGTTTGTCCTCAGGTTTAGCATCAGCTTTTGGAGCGTCTGCTTGTACAGCAGGTTCGGCTGGTGTAGGCACATCTTTAGGGGATTCGCTGGCTATTTCTGGTTTGCTTTCTTTGGCCTCGTCAGCTTTAGCAGGCTCACTGGCGATATCTTTTTCAGAAGACTTTTCTTTCGCTGGTTCAGCATCTTTAGGAGCATCAGCTTTCTCCTTAGGCTCGACTTCTTTAGGTTCCTTGGGCGCCTCTTCTACTTTGGTTTTATCATCAACTGTATCACGGACAACACGTAAGCTTTCATCTCCTGGAGTTGAAGCAGCATCAGCAGCTTTAGCCTCTGAAACGGGTTTGGAATCAGTAGCTTTAGCGTCAGTTTTTACTTCCGCTGGTTGGTTCTCTTGAACTGGAGCTGCATCTGCTGCGACTGGAGTAGATGGGGCGTCGTCTTTCTTTTCCTGGGGAACAGGGTCAGCACTCTTAGCAGCCGCCAAGTCTATTTTCTTTTCAGGAGAAGGAATAATTTCTGGAATATCTGCAGATTTGGTGTCAGTGACCTGTTTTACAGTTGCTTGTTCAGCTGGTTTGGATTCAGGTTCGTCACGCTTCTCTTCTGGTTTAACTTCATCAGCACTATCTTTCTTTTCTGATCCAGCTGATACGGCTGACTTCTCTTCCGGAGCTTTCTCTTCTGGTTTTTGTTCAGATGCAGCGGCAGATTTGTCTTCAGCTATTTTCGGTTCTTCAGGCGCACTATCGGTTTTAGAATCTAATGATTTCGTTTCATCTTTTTTCTCAATGGTTGTTTCTGGTTTCTTTTCCTCTGCAGCATCAGCTTTAATTGGCGAGTCATCAGTTTTAGGCGATGCCACAACAGCCGCAACTGCAGGTGAGTCTGGTTTCTCCTCAGCTACTGGCATAGCGAGACTTATAGCCGCAAAGGCCAAACATAATAATAGGACCTTCATCCTGAAATGACAAAAAATATACAATTAGTGGTTTGACTACATATAATTATTGCGAAATTATTTTCAAATCTGAATGCACGTCTACAAGTCGTGAGTGTGGTAAGGCCAATGTTACGTGCCAATGGGCTTTAGTGTTTCACAGCAATTTTCCAATTTAGATTAATCTTCTAAGGGTCTGATAAATAACTGAAGATAACTAGATGTTAGAGCTGTGAGCTGTTAAATAGGATGTAAACTATTTTGTAAAACAAGTGCTTTAAGGAGTTTTAATTTATATTCATAAATCAACTTTCATATACAATACAACAAAAATAGCTACTGTGGTTGCCTATTCCATTATTAACCGGTCCATATAAAATGTTTATTTTTTGCAGTGTATCTGAAGTGCTAGTCATCTATTTTCCATTAGCTACTTAGGTCGTAGACCCCTACGTATTCTATTTATAGGTTAGACTAGGAGGTAGGGCATTAAGACTATACACATAGTCCTGGAATGCAGTCCGGCGCCACTGCTTATACATTACACCCCTTTAAGGTAGGATAATATTCTTAAAATAGCTCGCAAGATTACTTTGTCGTTAGTAGTCATTAGAACATATATTTTTTAAACTGACGCATTCTTTCGTCTTCGTCATCATAATAATTTTTTTAAAGCTCTACAGGGTTGAAAAACAACGCTAAATATACAAAGATATTTTTTTACTGTGCCGAGCTGAGACTACGTTCGAAATGATGGTAGAATTTTAAAAAAGTATGACAATTCCAATATGCATAAATTTAAGTTATTATTTAATTTTTTTTTTCTAAACTGCTTTTTTTTCTTTTTTTTCGAAACCTAAACTGCATGAAATATTGGATAGATTTATTCGTTTGCATATGATGGACACTTCCTACAGCGTGTGAAGTGTCAGGCAGGATACGAAATGCGCGCTAGAAATATGGATGATCCAGCCAGACAGCGTCAACGCCATTATTTGAATTTTAATTATCTGATTGAATTCAATTGACATCTATAATGCAATTCACGCGCGGACATGAATGATTCAGATTTTATTATACATGCCCATACACAAATAATACTGTATTTTTTTAGTAATTTGAATTGCAAAGAAACTGATAGCCCAACTGATGGTAACTGATAATCATCGCCTGTATATATCAACAGTACTGAAGATTTCATGTTACCATGTACCCATGCCACCATACCACTCATGTGTGCCATTCTTGAATACTAACACATCATTTCTCTTATCCTATAATTTCATTGCCTTATCTCATCCTACAACCGAAAAACACCTCGGTTCGAAAGGTTTGTTTGCCAAAACATAGTTTACAATTTTAACATGACCATTTTCAGGTTTTATATTTATTAATATGTCATTGCGTTGATCTCGACGTATGTTCAAGTTCAGTTTGTAATGGGAGCCGGTTTCGTAACTTGATTGTGCGTCTCGGCAGTTACCATTTATTACGTTCGACCAGTTCTTACTTCATATTACAGATGCATTTTATAAATGTTCTCTGCTCGGGTCTAACTTTTATGCAATAATTATCTGTACAGAGATAATCATGAATCCCTTCATTTATTTCGTAAAATGTTTTAATTTACTTCTTATGGTTTTAACAAAAAAATATGCATGAAGATGTTTGTGCACCCTCACAAACTTCTTCATGCATATTTAACGTATTAGGATAAAATTTGATACGCAGATGCCCTAGGTTGGGTGAGTTACCGTCTGATTTTTTATCTGAATTCATGCGGACAAGCCGTAAATGACTATTTATATACAAATATAAACCTTACGGAAAAAACACCACGATATTATAGGGAAAAGCGTACTAATTTACGTAGACCAGTTTAAAAGTAGGTAATCAGAAAAACAATTAGATCAAAATGGTAACTTGAATAAAAATAGCGAAAATGAAAAGAAGGATCAGTTCATCGGAACAGGTTCCTTTGTCCAATGCTTATGTACAAGACTGCAACAGTTGTTGCGATTATTTTGATTACGTATAATTTTACGTATGCAATCATAAACTTTTACTTTTAGTTTTACTTTTATACGACTTTTTAATGACTATCAACTCTACCTGCGCCACATATGGGGTCATTGTCTTTTTTTGATCGTTGTCTGTTTCATTGGATTTTACTTCATAAATTTCGATGGAATCTATATAAATTAAAATCAATCGCCATATGTCTTGTTATGCTCAAAATTCGAGAACGGCTGAAACAATTTAGTAACATTTTTCTGAATGCATCAGAAAAAAACTCTAGAAATCAATCCTCAAAAATTAAGATACCAACAGACAGGTTGTTGATTCCAAAATATGTTGGATTTAATTTTAATATTAAATACACCCAATGTAATACAGAAATATTTATTATTTTTTTCTTTTGCACACTATAATGCATGGCGTACTTAATCCTTGATGGCATTATCTAAATCCACACAGAAATATATATTTAAATTTATTTTTGTGGAATATGTAGATTTCATATGGCATATAAATCTAATAACGGATAAAAAATGGTAAATACGTGTAATTTGGATACGTATAGTAAAATAACAGCGAAAGTGTTAATAAAATACAATTCTGCAATGTAAAAAAAGACGTTAAAAACTGATTGAAAAGTTGATGTATAAAAATGAGCAAAGAGTTTACAACAATTGTTTTGTACCGTAGATATTTCAATGCACGTGTTTCATATGAACCGTGCAACGATGATTATCGTACATTCGGTTCAGTTAAAATGGCGTATCGGGCACCGCCGATAGAAGTCACATTTACTACCATGTAACTATGAACTATAAATGAATTAGAAATTAACTGAAATAAATTACATTTATAAAAATGAATCTACTACGTATAAAATGTGAAAGGTTTTTTCTTATATGTTACAGTAGATTATTTAAAGGGCGTAAGTAATTTTTTTATATAATTGGATTGGGAGTAGATCTTCATTTCGTTGTGATAATTTTCGTGGTACCCCTAATTCATAGCTGTTCTTAAGAACCACGGTGTTATATCTCCATATGCTGAAAGGCCTCTGCCACATATCACTCTTTAAACAACTACAAATTAAGATGTTCAGGATATAAAAAGAAAACAAAGAAAAGTACCTACGCAGACATACATCAGTATAAAATATACCTCGGTACATGCGTTCATATCCTTGTTTTCCCTTTTTGCAACATGTGATTATCCTTTCGACTTCGATGAGCTATTTTCTGGAAGGATATCCTCAAGCTGAGGGCAACGATTGTCGCCTTCCCACGCGCCGGTACAGCAATCTTTCAATTGAAGCCCAGCGTATGCCAGTTATTGCGCCAATGAAAAAATTTGCCGGCTACCAACCGTTACTTAGACTGATGGATTGTAGGGCTTACAATCAAACAATTTCAAGCCCTATATATATTATTTCATATATCATTTCGTATATAAAATATTTACTTCGATACCTAAATGTCCTGGAATTTAATATTATCCCGAGAAATTACATAGAAAATTAAAATCTACAAATATTGTAATATTTTTTTAAAATCTACATTTAACCGTATTTTAGCATTATTCATATACCATATAAGAGAATATCAAATCCTTCTTATCTCACAATTGCAATGTTGTGTTCTCCTACACTCTATACAGCAACAGCTTTATTGGTAATAAAATTTTTAAGTTTAAATATTTTACTGATGAAAGTCATCAGTAAATTTAACCGATATGTATATTGATAGTCTTTAGAATTATTGAAATTAATAAGATAGTCAAGCATGTACATATTATTATATACATAAAGAATACTGCCAAGTATTTATTATGTAGATATATATGTACATGCTTGACTAAGTACTAGTTACCGCTTTCTATGAATTGAAGAACCATAAGTTTTTTTGCATTACCAAAATAGTAATACATTCAAATAAAGAGTTACTAAAAAAGGCTGAATGCAGCCTGACACCTAGGCCTTGTAAATTTATTTGATCTATATTGAAAAATTGGTTGCAACATTGCACACCGTCACGGTTGACCGGCATCTATTACGAAATCCTCGTACACATACTTTGTTAGAGATCACCCTTACTCGACCGTAACCAATGTTTGTGTCAAAGGATACCCAATTAACGAACAGAATTTACATTATTAAGGACAAGGACACAATATTAAATTATATTTGTGGTTGACGCAATAAAAAATATAAACGAGATTGGTGCCTCTATGCTCAAAAAGTTTTCTGTAAAAAAAAAAAAATAATAACTTACTTTATGTAGGTACTTTTATGTATATTTAATACCTACAATTCTTTTATTATTCTGTAAGTTAACTGATTTGGTTTTTTTTATTAACTGATTTGGATTTGACTGGGTGATTTGTGCAAAATACTAGAGGACAACTTTGTATAAAGTTTCCAGTTACGAAGCAGCAAAATTTAGTTCACATTTCTGGAGTGAGTTAGAGCAGTTAAATTACGGTTTACGGAGTCATAGCTCGTCATCTTAGTACTCAGTAATGGCATGCGAGTTTTGGTTGTACCACACAACAACAAAAAGTATTTTCTAAAGTCTGTGCTGCCATTACCTTCATAGGCAATAGTTGAAACTGTATTTCAGATGCCCGTTGACTGATAATAAAATAAAAAAAGTTCAGTGGATTTGTGTTCGTAATTTGAAACCAAGACCTCGAACTCGGTAGGTTATTATGAATTCAAATACAAAACAAAACTTTTAACATAACTTTGTTTCCACGACAGACTTTATTTCATGGTCGCTAGGTGAATATTAATTTAGAATTAAATTTTACATTACTTATTATATCAGTATGTTATAAAATGTTTTACTACAAATTATCAAAGGACGTACCAATTTTATTAAGTATTTTACTATATAATTGTATGTACATAAAAAAGCAAAATCAAAAGCTGTTGAATATGTAATCAATGTTATGTTAGTCTATGGTTTCAAAGATTTCCCACGTATGAGTCAATATGTTACAAGGACT